CGTAGTATTCTGTCATATCTTCAGTCTAGTTCCTTAAATGAGATCATTCTGAAAATTTGTGAAGACCTTCCGATAGGGCTTTTACAACTGTCCAAAAAATTTGGTAGATATCGGCGCGGAGTTGATATGGTTTGTATCACGTTGTGACCCCCACGGTCGTTTCACCCCTGTAGAGTTTCTACGATACAGGGGAGCTGCGCACTCGTGCGCGGCAGGTCATACAACGTATGACAAGATATATATAGTGATGGGGCAAAATTTCGGACACTTTCCTTGTAAGTCTATGGGTAAGCTTACCAATTTTTGTTAAAATTGGATCCAGGGAAGGTTGTTTAATACTCTTTTGTTTCAAGAATTTTGTGCTGGCCGAAATTAGCGCTAAAAAAACATTGTACAGTCGGCACGCACGGCTCACTGTCGATGGCCCAAAAAACTTTACTGCCTGCTGGGCTTACTAGAGGTGATAGATTTTCAACAGCACGTTTGTCGTCGCGCGTCACGTCAAGTTTACCTTTTGCACGCTGCATTGAGCCTTGTAGCGCGATGCACTACTGGGTCGCGCCGCGCATCAAATAATTCTTCTCGTAGTCATGACAACGACATTTCTTTGCAAAGTTAAAAAGCTGTGATCTTTTATGTAGCCCAAAATCAAACTTTTCGGTTTAATTCAGAATCTACGTTGTCCCAAATTTGGCTCCTGGGGAGCCAACTGTAAATTCACGAGACGGAAATTTTGTTGAAAACCGGAAGGTTCTATTTATTTTACTTTTGGAGATATACCCCAGCTGGTAGGGTTTGCTGGGCCTATAACCTACGCGCGTTCAAAAGAATTTGCACTTTCATTTTAAAACGTTCACTTTGACGAACCATAACTCTCCACCAATCAAATCAAATCTCAATTTTAAAATATCAAAAGAAAGTAAAGAATTTCACCAACAAAAAAGGGGGTTATAAATGGGTAAGTAAAACCGCGATCTTCGCCCTCAAAATCGACTTTTAAAACTTCATACATATTCCGCCGAAATTATAAGTCTTATAGCATGCTATATTATTTTGCAAAACTCGTTTAATATCTTGACAATATTTAAAGTTTATGGTTTTAGGTTTAGACGCGGCGCACGCACCGCTTATATGTTATAGCTCATTCAGCTTCTGCTTTCAGCGCTGTGTTGCTACACACTGTACAGCATGTGGGTCAAGCGCGGTGCCGCGCCTAAACAGCAAAAGAGTTATTTATTTTAAAATTTATTTTTGTATCTCAAAAATGATGTAAAGTTTTTAATATGACGAAGAATTAAAGCTATTTCCGTACAGCCTAAGTGCTAAGCATGCTCGTTAGAAAAACTATGAACAATGAACATAACATGCTAGCTTTCTTTATTTTGTAAGTCGCGTCGGCTGACATCTTGGGTTGTACTGGATGTAACAAGTTTATTATCGGATGTCTACTTATATTTATTATGATATCATTATTCATTGTAATGGCAATAAAATTTAAATTTTGTTTTACTTAAAAATTTTGTTTTACTTATATCGCAAAACATCCCCCTACCTCCCTGCAACTCCCCCTTCCATTTCTCCCCCTTCCTTCTGCTTTCTTTTGCAGCTGAACTATGAACTCTCATGCAGCTCTCTTGCCTACCCAGAACACAGAAAACCTTACCGCCTGTTGGGCTTGCTAGAGGTGATAGATTTTCAACAGCACGTTTGTCGTCGCGCGTCATGTCAAGTTTACCTTTCGCACGCTGCATTAAGCCTTATAGTAGTCATGACAACGACATTTCCTTGCAAAGTTAAAAAGCTGTGATCTTTTATTTAGCCCAAAATCAAACTTTTCGGTTTAATTTAGAATCTACGTTGTCCCAAATTTGGCTCCTGGGGAGCCAACTGTAAATTCACGAGACGGAAATTTTGTTGAAAACCGGAAGGTTCTATTTATTTTACTTTTGGAGATATACCCCAGCTGGTAGGGTTTGCTGGGGGCGCACTACTCACACGTACCAAACGTCAACCTAGTAAAAGTTTTGTATGGACACCGGTCTCCATCACGATACAAAATTAGGATTGAAGAATTTATTGTATAACTATTAGAAGTGGAGGTAGCGGTGTGGTGCATTAATAGAATGACAGCCTACTGAATATCCGAACAGTCATTGCATAACTCAGCAAGATTCCGTTTGTTTTTATATAGCTCATATTTTCATACCAAATAAAAAACAATGTAATCTTATTGCTGACAAAATATGAATACAATTATTGTATTGGCCTAAAAGTTATATAGACTGTCCATGTCATGTCAAAGTTTAAAACGCGCATTCAGCATTGGTATAGCACGTTACTAATAAGGTCCTAATATTTATATTTTCAAACATATTCTTGATCGGCCTTACTACACATTTTATTGTACTATTGTGCTATGTGTCCAATTAATGGTTAAGTCTCCAAACTCATAGCAGAAAACATGCGTCCTTTTGCCTGTAAAAGCCTTTATACTACTATCAACTAGTGTCATGTGATTTTTTAAACACGTCCTCTAGGTGGCTTGGAATGACTTTTCGAAGCCCTAATAATAAATAACCCTCTAATCTGATTCTAACCCTAACTCTAACCCTAACCCAATCTTTAACTAGAACTGGGCCGGAGGTGCACGATAAAAATAAACTTGCTCGAATTTTCAAAATTTGTGTACCATTGTTTTCTATACTAGAGGGTGTGAGCTTTTTTATAATACCAAATTTGTCATACCTTTTAGTAAAACAAAGTATTTTAGTAAAACAAAGTATTTTATTTATTAGCAGTGCAATCAATTCATATGATATAATTATAAGAATATAATAGTATGTCACACCTATTTAACTGTTACGTTCGAGTAGTCGTGCTATGGCTAAATTTAACTAGGACCAGTGGTGTCGATTAACATTTAAAAGGTGATTCTAAGTGACACAAATGGAAATTTTTAAGAAAAGACGGATCAAAACACAGATCCAAGGACAAGGAGACCCCACTGCAGGACCATACATGCTATTGGCTTGTGCATGGCCCAAAAGGTTCCAGTTGTCCAGGAAACTGTACGTAGCTGGTCAACTAGTTTTGAATTCAGACTAGGCTTGATGAGTTCTGGGGTTTCTAGAGGTAAGATTTGATGGTGCCAGGTTTGTTCAGGCGGACATGGAAATTATGCCAGGAATATATAGGTATATAAAAATCATATCAATATAAAAATAGATCCAAAAATAGATCCAAAGATTCACACGGCAGTCAGGGAACTTCCAGACAGGATGCTTTTGAAACAGGTATAATTAGCGCTTTTGTAATTAGTTGTATGCAAGGGATGGGATGCTGATTGAATAAGCTGGTTCAATGCCCCAGCTATTTAGGGGGAGCCACTCAATTTCACGCCCAGGTGTTGTCAAATTTCGCCTAGGTGACATATTTAATGACGCGCGGCTTTTGGAGCTTCTGTAAGTGTAAAAGTCGCGTAATCAAATCAAGGCTAAACCGATCTCTTCTAGAATCTAGCTGTACCCAAAACAAGTTTGATAACGAGTGTGGAGTGGCACAATGTGCAATGACAACTTTAAATTTAACAGTTTAATTTTGATGTGATAAAATCCTTTGATGTGATAAAAACTGATTACCAAAGAATGCTATTACTATTAGCTTCCTCCCTGTGACCACAGGGCAGAGGTTTTCTAGTACTGTATAATATGGTAATATGCTTTATCTAATAGACTGAGTTATAAGGATTGAGGAGTTACATTTTACATTGTATCACTTCTATGGAATCTTAATATAGAAATGTTACGGCCTGGGTTCGGTCCTTTGTCCTCAGTGCAACCAAATGCAGGAAAATACTCACAATATTGACACTATAATAATACAAGTCAGTAGTCTGATTGAAGGAGTGCAGCTTTATTGAAGATGTTAATCTTTCACAGCTCCCCACGTGACGGCCCAGTAGTGCTATGATCTCGGGAAGCATTATTTGATGCAAGACCTGTTGAAGTACTCAACGTTAACATTCGTTAACATGACATCGACCGAAATAATAAATCACAATAGTTATAATCTACAGGGTGGCCCATAAAAGACTACCCATCCTTATCTCTTAAATTTGTAACAGGTCGCTGAGATCTTGCTAATTATTTTATTTCAGAATGGAAAAGCGCCATAACTTACGTTCTGATTAATATTTCTGCTTCAAATTTTTAGAGAATGTCAATCCTAATTAGACACAACTTCGTGCTAAGTTTTGTGTGAGTCTGAGCTTGTCTGACAAAGTTAGCTTCTGAGTGTGCTAGCTTTAATTTCTCACCCAGAACTGTTTACATTGGTTAATAGAAACAACAAAAAAAAATCCTGGGTAAAAAAATTAAAAAACCACCGATTTATTTATGTTTTACCAATTCTATTCATAGCACATTCCATGTGAGAAGAACGATATAAACAAGCAGGAAGGATCATCTGTGATAGTCCTTATCAGTTAAAATATAGAGAGAATGGAATGTGCGATGGATCGTGGTGAATAGAATTGGTAAAACCTAAATAAATCGCTGGTTTTTTTATTTTTTTACCCAGGATTTTTTTTTGTGGTTTCTTTTTACCTGATTATTAAAGGTAAACTTTCGATCAATATGTGTAATTATTTGATTTCACCTGTTATCTGGTTTGCAGGAACCAGATAACAGGCGACATGTCCCTGTTTGAACGAGGCCTTCTCCGGACAAAGCCTTTTACGGACAGTCTTCTCTAGCTGAAGACCGAACAGTATAATTTATGGAATAAAATGTATTATTAAGGTGCTCTGCTGATTATTGTACCATAATTTAAGTAATTTATAATTGTCAAAAAAATGACCATCGACTGGTCTCGAACCAGAGTCAACCCACCTGATAGACGCACCTTTAACCACTCTAATACAAGACACTTGAAATTTTACGAGAAATCATACCCTCAAAGGAAATAGGAGTGAACTTTATTTTATTAACATGTGCTTTTTTCAGATGTTAGCATCATGAAACCTAAGCTGCTACTCTTGCATTGGTAAAGGAATCTAGTCCAAAATGTCCCAGGAAACTATTGAAAATTCCCTGATCATTCTTCCAAAACCGACTTGGAAGATCGACCTTCCTCCATTATCAGCGGAAGAATGGATAAACTCACAAGGATTTGGAGATTGGCCTCTTCCACCATCCGAGATGGAATTTGATAATGTAAAGTCTAGATTTCCAGATTTATTCTGCTCACAAGAGGAAATCTTAGCAACATTTGTGGAAGGAATAGAGATTGATACAGAACCATATGATATTGTAGAGGAGCAAATAAACAGCTTGGAGGACCGGCTTTCCAAATATAGTGAAATGCTACTCGAAAAAAGGGATCGGAAGGTATCACCATATGGTATAACTTGTGTACCTGCTGAATTCGAGATTGGTAAAGGAAAAATAAATCAAGAGATTGTCAGTAATGTTAAGATAAGAAAACCGTTGCAAGATCAAGAAGTGACACAAGGTGGAGGAAGAGCTGGTATAATTCAGTATGCTCTCTTTCCCGGTTTTGATGAATGGGAGTTGACTTCACTTCCTCGTCAAATTGAAGCACCACACATTCTCAATAAAGTAACACAAGGTTTTGATTTTGATGCTAGTTGGTTCAAAATTTGGAAGAAGTACTTTCTCTCACAAGGATCAGTTGCTTTATTACAAGATACATTTTGGTGGGTTTTGCTCGAGAGATTTCATCCTAATCAAAGGGAACAAGATCGTCTTTACAACCGCATAGCAGATAGCTATGTGTCATTATTTTTAAACATTCCTGAAAAGCACAAAGACTTTATCCTAAAAAATTATCCATCTGCTTTAGCTCAGAGTTTGTATAGCACATTTTGTAATGTGTACACAAATTCATTAAAACATTTTGATGGTGAGTTTAAGACATTTCTGTGCAATTTGACATCAGAGTGGATCTGTGGTAGCACTCCTCCCCCTCTCACTTGGACAAAATGGCCGATCAATCTACTCGAGCCCTCAAGCTCCCACAAAGATGATGAAGGCCGAAAGTCTGGACTTAAACTACAGCCACAAGAGTCAACAGTCGATGAGAAGCCTATTTCTCCAATGTTTCAGCTGCCCAAAGTTCTTAAAGAGTCACATCCTGCAGGACCTGGACCCGTCTTTGAAAGAGTTCAGTTCAATTTATTTGGTCGAAGCCCACTTGTCACTCATTATCTGAACACGAGAAATTTGGGGATGGATCTCTTGGCCCCTAAGCTGGTATCAAGGACCCAAATTGAAAAAATAGGAGCACAAGAACCAACATATCGACAGATCATCAAACAGGCTAATAAAGTCTATGAAAACTTGGAGGAGCAACATGAGCGGGCTATGAAGCTCAGTGATGTTGAGTCAAGAAGGATCCACAAGAGGTATAGAGATGAAATTTTAGAGCTTTCAGTGATTCAAAAGGAGTTGTTCAAACGAAAGAATGAGGTCAGAGTTCTGAGCGAGAAATTGATAGACTACCAGAACAGTGATTTGTACAATCAGCCTGGTACTTTTGCCAACATTTTCGAACCATATGCTGAACTTTTCAAAGACCAGATTGAGGAGGCTCGGAAAGAAATGTAGACTTATGGTTAAGTTTGAAGTTGTATTAAAATTATTCTAAATTTGTTTCACAAGTAGCATGTTACAAAAGATTTTCTCCAAGTCATTTAGGCGTCATCTTTTACAGATCTGATTGTTTGGCAATTATCAGCTGCATGTCTTTGTTGTTTTATCATGATTGTTAAGATGATAATGCATTATAATATTGCTTGCAGTTTTATTCCTACTATACAGTTTAGATAACATCTAGGCTAATGTGGTGCTTTCCAGAAGAAAATAAAATGATTTTCAAACAAAGTCACAACGAATTCTTCATGTAGTGCATCCTGGGTTTGGACAGGATATGCCCGTTTAGAATATTTCCATCACGTTACATTACACAATTCTCAATAAATGCAATAGATTTGTAGTGCTGTAATTAGTTTAAAAATTTGTATTGTATCATCTCATAATTATGAAGTTATTGAGCTATCCTAGACACTCAATACTTTAATAAAACTTAATTCAGGATCTAGTAGGTATCATGCATCAATCATGATCCAGTTATCCCGGACACTGTGAGAAAACAATAAATTCAAATGGGGAGTGTTGAAACTGAAAGCACAGAAAAGCCTATTGAAACACAAACATTAGATATACCCGCCAAATTGCTTGCCAGTTACGATACTGAAGATGATGCTTGGTCATGGGGACTCTCTCCTAGAGTCACCCAGATTCCTAAGAAAATGTTTCCATTGGCCACGATACCGGGTAGTAGATTGAGCACAAGGCAGTCAGAAAGAGGAATCCCCAAAGAGAATATGTTACTAAAGTAAGCTTACAAAATAGATAGGTCCCCCACATTGTTTTTATTTCTAGAGTTTTTGTCTTAATTTTTTCTTAGCAAGCTCAATGATCGTCACATAACCCGTTTATGACGATAATAGTCTACATTAACCGAACACCTTCATCCCCAGTTTTGAGGCAGATCAAATTCTACAAGTTACAAAATGTTCGGATATTCCTGAAAAAGAACCACCAACATCACGTCCCAAAACCCCGGGGACTAGGATGTTGTCTGCTCCTGTCAGACAGGAAAAACTGTGAGTTTAAAGTTACAGACAAATCCGTTCATCAGGTATTATATAATATAACCAAAACATAAAACTTAATTGATTTTGTTACTGAATTGTATAAAATCTAAAATGTAAAATGTACTACATGAACTGATTGTTCACAACTGATCCCTAGAAAACCAGACGAGACCTTCATCACAGACCCAGGAACATTCTTTGCTCCCCAAATGCCAGGAAACCCCTCCACAGGCGAGCCTGTAGCGGCTGTAGTAAGAAGAGAAGTTAGCGCGCCACCCTCAGCTTGTAAACCACGCACTGTAGCTACTCTCAACCACAATAAAGTATTTACTGAGAATCTTGATTTTACTTACCTTTCAGCTGCTACAAGTGCAAATGTTGTTCAATATCAAATACTCGGTTTTTTACTTATCAGCCGTAAGATGTGCATTACCTTATATTCATTTAGAAATGTTAGATTAAAATATGATGATCAATGATAAAAAATTTGAATTTTATTCAATAGATGTCATGTTATATACTCAGGATGTTACAGAAGGAGTTAATTTAATGTAGTTTGAAGAGTCCTCACTCTCCTCACGTCCAAAAATGGCGTTTCTCTTGTCGCTAATATATGCTAATTAAATACTGTAATCTGCATCTACACACATCAACTAAAGGCTTTGTATATTTCAGACACTGGTTGTTAGAGGAGATAACGAACAGAAGAAACCAAACAAGTTAGCCCTGGTAAAAGACTTGGACAACACCACAAAACCTACATTTACAGCACGCAAAGTAACAAATTAATTAAATAGTAATCTTAATAATCACCTAACCGTTATTCAAGTAGGAGTATTTCAGTTGAAAACTTAATGGTTTGATGTCATGATATATAATAATGTATATTATAGTTTTTGATAACGTAAACAATGGTCATATTTTGTAAATTTGTAAATTAGTGGTTCAAATTCTCCAGCCGAGAGAGGTGGCAAAGATAAGTAAGCCCAAGAAGTTCAAATCAGTACCGTTCCAAATTCCTGAGCTGTCATCAAAACAGAAGAAAAACATTCTTACTCTTCCAGCTGACAAAGGATCAAAACTGGAACTTTTACAAAAGGTATGAAATTTTAGTATTTTCACAAATTTACCGCCAAGATATTCAAGTATCAAGATCACTTCAACCAGATCTTATCATTTAGCCTCCCATTTAGACGTTATGATGTGAATGAAATTCTTGATTCAAGAATTATAACATTAGATCTAATTTATCCTATGACAGAGGCTGAAGTATGATGCACGGAAGTACGCGCTGTGCAACATAAAAACAGGGAGTTCCTCGTCTGAGTCGAGTGAGGAGGAAGTAGAAGAGGAAGAAGATAGCAGTGAGAATGAACCTTCCCCACCTCCTCGAGTCCACAAAGGTAGATTCTTATAATCATTATAAAGGATCTGATACTGTTCTTGCTTTTCTTTAGAAAATGCATCTCGTTATCGTAGGGGGTAGAATCTTAGAGTGTAATAATATAATCATTATCATAAGGGTAATTTGCAGAAATCCTTGAAATCGGTTTCCCGTCACATGTTTTTATTGTTCTCACACAATCACCGGTAACTTACCTTTCTTAATCGGTGCTAGGGGCTGATGATAATATGCCCCCTTCCCCCTCCCCCAGTTGATTTCTGTCCCAGAATGTTATGTTACCGTTTCTTCAGAAAAAGAGTCAGAGCAAGCTTTTGAAAAACTGCAACAGAACATCATGTCAAATGTTCCGAACATTGAACTGAATAAGAATTTTTACTTCCACGATTCCTCTCTATGTGGTTCTTATCATAATTATATTATATCATACATTTGTGCATGCAATCACATACCACCATTCCATTTTTAATGTAACTCTAATATTCAAATTCACTTTCACTTTCACTTTCACTTTCACTCGATCACTTTCACTTTCACTTTAGACTATTTTCACTCCACCAGGTACCCGCATCAAATCAGACCTAGACAATCTGATTCCACACCAAAAGCACCACCTAAAAGTATTCATGGACAGTTCCGGTAAACGCCAGACAACAGAAACTCCTTCTCGTAAAACCTTTCTGAAAGAAGTACGAAGAAGAAGTTTCATAGGGTACAAGCTAAAACGGAAGGAACATTTAGTGGGTGGTTACCGTGAGCGTAGGGAATCAGGTCTGACAGTGGATTCTCACAGTACAACCTCTCGGGCTACCCTGGGTAAATTAGCCATCACAAGTGATGACCTGGTAGAGTTGAGAGCTATAGCAGAGAGGCCGAGGCTGGAGAGTGTTGGGGGGTGCGGCAGTTATGAGAGCTCTGAGGATGAGTCTTCAACTCAGTCACGTGACTCGATGCAGCTGCAGGAGAGTGTTACTGTGTCTACTTCAAAATGTTGGGTTTTAGATTGAGTTGGTAGTATCGTGTTTAAAATTTAAACTCAAATTTTATCAAAGCTAACGTTATTGCCAATCATTCAACGTCAATATTAACATCTAACACATTCACGCCGCCATCTTTCAACCAAAACTTCTCAAAAATCACTTCCAGTTTAACTTTCACTCAGAAGTTTACTTTCTCTTTCACTTCAGCGGCGATGGCTAGAAGAGCCAGTGTGTCCACTATAGGCTCAGCAGCTGCCAGACAGATCTGGGCTAAAGGAGCCGCGCAGATCAACAAGAAGAGACCTGCTATCAGCTTCTTTGAGGAGAGTCTCAGTGATGCTGATAAGTCTATTATCGCTCACCTCGAGATTGCAGGTATAAATATAATAGTGTGATCTTAGTGAAGAAGCCAATGAGCGCCCAAACGTCGATTATTTTCATTTATTTTTATTTTTATTTGCTTTGTTTCATTTTTCTGCTGAGAGCCGTGGTAATTCTTACTAAACAAGTAAACACTATACTATGTACTAGGTATAATATAAATAGAACCATCCGCCATCGCTACGCTGACAATTCAAAAATCACAAAATATTCAAAAACATCACTATACCGCCTCCCCCAGACTCGCTGTCCAGATCAACTTCAGTGAAGACAGACCCTCAGGGGGCCCCAACTCCATCACGTGACATTGGTGACCACGTGGTCGAGTCCGATGAGGGAGACACGAGTGATGTGAGCGTCACTGCTGAGGACCTCGAACTCTTTGATAGGTGAAATTACGCTTTACATTTCATAATATGGAGTGTTAGTAGGTGGTTACCGTGAGCGTAGGGAATCAGGTCTGACAGTGGATTCTCACAGTACAACCTCTCGGGCTACCCTGGGTAAATTAGCCATCACAAGTGATGACCTGGTAGAGTTGAGAGTTTTAAATGATGATTTAATGAGGCCTTATTTTAAATTATATTATATAATGGTGTTTTAAAATTGTTCCGCTTCAGGTGGGTTGAGGGAGACACACCCACTTCAAAAGATGTGGAATCAGACCGAGCAGTCAGTGTGGAGATACAGCAAGTTCTGGGTATTGAAAATGTACCTTACACCCCACCTCAGCTTCAGAGGTTCGTTTAGAAAACATAACTTAGATAAATAAATTATTAAACAAAAAAACATAACTTGATTAAACTTGCTTATGATTTTGTAACAGCTACCCAGATTTATACATTATTCTTAAAATCATACTTGCATTATAATAGACTATAGAGTTTAAAAAGGTTTCCTTTATCTTCTTGAGCTTCCATTATTTGAAATTTAAAATTCTTTAAATACTTTAAATATTTTAGATACACCTCGTTCAGGATCCGCAGCAGCGAGATGTCTCGCAAACCTTCTGAGAGTGATGCGAGTGTAACAGTGCAAGAAACAGTGCAGGAAACAGAAGAAGAAGATGAAGAGGTGGAGGACGAGGCGTCAGAAGGAAAGGAGGTTAGTCTGAGAAAAGGGGATGGTGTGGGGGGGGGGCGGAGGACGAGGCGTCAGAAGGAAAGGAGTTTAGTCTGAGAAAAGGGGATGGTGTGGGGGGCGGAGGACGAGGGTTCAGAAAGAAATGGGGTTAGTCTGAGAAAAGGGGATGAGGTGGGGGGGCGGAGGAAGAGGCGTCAGAAGGAAAGGAAGTTAGTTTGGGAAAAGAGCCGGGGTGTGGTGGTGGTGGGGAGAGGCTGAAGATATACTATATGGACACGTTCATTTGAGTTTGAGGATATTGGTAAATATAAGTGATCCTATTAGAAGGCACAGTGTAGTTGACTTTGTCACACTATGAAATTACTTAAACCCTTGATGGTTAGGATAATCGTCTCATCCTCTAGGCTAACTTTGTCACATAACGATATCTTAATCAGGTGATAAGATATCGCTTAAATACGGCCGGCACGGAAATGGTTACATTGTCACACTACAAACATGTGACGGAGTAAATATGGACCCCTTGCTGCCGTTTTTGACCAAATTATTTACTGTCCAGTTGATTGGATGTGTACATATGACCATTACCTACATATTTGACGACTTTTTTCGTTAGATGGTGCATTCAGGTTTACTCTGTCACACATTAAAGAAAATATGTGATGAATGTTTAGGGCACCCTGATAAGCAATGCTGAGTAGTGTAGGTTTATTTGATAGCCTGGAAGTGCTGGGAATTGTTATTATATCATATAGTCGTAAGGAATTAAAACACAGAAGGCACAACCAAGTTTACTTTGTCACATAATCTTGATGATATCTGAACATGTGTGAAATTGAACAAATAATGATATACCAGCTTAAACCCCTTATATTACGTACTATGGATCAAACAACACTGATAGTACCATGCACCAGTCACATAAATCATTATCAGGTGGTAATGTGTTAACAGTGTCACAATTAAACTACCGCTACATGGTCAAAAATAGGGTAATTTCGTCACAAAAAATTATTATAACTCTGTTAGCTCCTTGCTGGCAAAATAACTAGTTTATCGAAATTTTGTTGATGATAAAGTTACATAGTATTCTAATAGAGGTATAGTTCTTCAAAATAGGGGCAAGACATATTTACTTTGTCACATCAGTTATTATAAGAGTTAGGTAATCGTCATCAGATTAAAAGATATTTTTCGTAGTTTGGATCGATTAATACTTTAATATACATGTAATAAAGCATCCTATGCCAATTTTAACACACTATCTTGATACTGTTGGGGCAGGGAAAGTTAATTTTGTCACATTTTAATGTCTTTGACAAATTAATCTAAATTTTAAAAATTGAGCTCTTATGTTCTGGACAATATTCTTCCAATCGTTTCTGAAAGAATGTTGAATTCTAATAGAGTTATAGATCTTCAAAATAGGGGCAAGACATGTTTACTTTGTCACATCAGTTATTATAAGAGTTAGGTAATCGTCATCACATTAACATATAATTTTTTGTAGTTTGGATTGATTTATATAGGTAATAAAGCAGCCTATGCTAATTTTTACACACTATCTTGAAATTGTTGGGGCATGAAAAGTTAATTTTGTCACATTTTTAGTGACTTTGACAAATTTAACCTAAAATTGTTAAACTTAAGCTCTGATATTCTGGACAATATTCTAATAAAGGTATAGAATATAGATCTTCCAAATAGGGGCAAGACATGTTTACTTTGTCACATCAGTTATTATAAGAGTTATTATAAGAGACTATTTCATTCTATAATCATTGTTTTTAATCTATTTACGATTTCGTATAATTTTTTGTGACAATGTAAACATCAACTGATCTTAACTTGCATCAACTACATTGTCATCATATAAAATTTTTTCCACCTTTCAAACCAAAATCAGATATAAATAATTCGCCCAAAATTTAAAATTTCATATATTGTGACAGAATTAACCTCATTTCCCAATAACCAAGTGCCTGTATTAGCTAACTAGTCAAAACAACATATTTTAGGGCTATGATTGGTAGAGCAACCATCAAATAATGAGTTGAAAGGGTTTTTAGGACACCTCACAGTAGAATAGAGGTATGGTATCATGAGTGTGACAAGGTTACCCAAATATTGCCTTGTAACCGTTCGATCCGTGCCCATTAACCAATGTTGTATCATAATTGTTAGATTGACCTAATTTACTATATTTCAGACCAAGGAATGATAATTAGACAACTGCAGTTAACTAAGTCACTCAAAATGTGACATTTGAAACATTATAGTGCCTAACAACAATAGATTTTCTTGCTGAGCGGTGCATATGGGAGTATGAGTTACGTGGCTAATGTTCAGAACTTCTGAGCGTGCTAAGTTAATAGATGTCAAAATTAAGCCACTATCGTTAACGTCCTAAAAATAATTAATCATTAAATGTTCCGGATAGGAACATTTTTCTTTTTGATAATATTGTGCGAACTGCAATAGCGTAGAGTGCAGTTGGGTTTCAAGTTTTGTCGAGATGGCCATGTGGCCATAATCCTATTATTATTATTATTATCGTCAAAAACGCTATTATTTTTGTTTACCAATATCCTCAAACTCAAATGAACGTGTCCATATACATATTTTATATCTTGTTGTGGAATGTGGATGAGGTTATCTACGTACCAAAACAACCATTATCCCAGTATTTACAAATTCTGTAACACAATATAACAACATTTTCCGCTTCTTCAGGACCAGGAGCTGAGCTTAATAGAGTTTGTGTCGGAGAGAAGTTTGGGAGACACAGTCTTACAACATGTCATGTTCCAGGACGAGGAACCTGTATCCCAACTTGACTCAGGTGGGGATGAGAAGCATTTGATTATCATTTAATTAGCATTTAATTAGCATTTAATTAGCATTTAATTAGCATTTAATTAGTAGTGCATCGCGCTGCAAGTGGGGTTTTGGAGTTACTCAAGTGTCAATTTATCTATTAATGTTACTATTCAATTCAAAGATTGTGTATTTGTTGTTGTAAGTTTACTCTGTTTCTAGTCATAGAATTATTTGTTTTGATATTTAACAGATGTGTTGAATAGATATTGCTTTACCTAACTGAACTAGCGTTTCGGTGTGTGCAAAAGCTTTCAGGCACGCGCATTCCTTGCCCCGTTCGCGTTAGTTACCTGTCCTTCCAAAACCAAACTAGCAGTCAAGGACCAAAAAGTCATACACCAAATGGGCATTATATTTTATGAATTGTTTTACATCTTTTTATTCTGTAAAATGTGCTAAAATTAAATTTCTTGTTTCATTGAATTTCTTGCTTCATTGTTAATGTTCAACCTCTAATCTATGTAGTTAAAAACAATGTATGCTTAAAAACTATATCTTATATTATCCTTTGTACAGACTGCAGTTGTGTAATGTGTATCATAATATTATCACAAATATTAGTCTCTTTATCACATGCAATATCATTCCGTCGAACTCAGAGCCATTATAAAACCAATTAAGTAATTATAAACCAATTAATTAATTGCATGTTTTATCTGGAACTGATTCCGCCAAAAATTATATACTGCTGTCTCTTATCGGATCATTCATGTTGCTTAAATAATAAATATTATATATTTTGTTTGTTTTTTGCAACAAGTGTTGGTGACAATCTCGGACGATAGATGATTGAGGAGGTGTTTTTGGTTGTAACAAAAGTTATTTTTTGTGTGTAAATCGTGCTCACGTCAATACGGTTCAATTTGAAATGTTAGTAATTTTATTGTAATTCTGTATCCTTAACACTGTAACACGTGACTAATCATCTACTATCATCTAATCTATCATCTAATCACGTGACTGTATCATCTAATCACGTGTATTTATCATCTAATCACATGATTGTATCATCTAATCACGTGACTGTATCATCTAATCACGTGACTGTATCATCTAATCACGTGTATTTATCATATAATCACGTGACTGTATCATCTAATCACGTGACTGTATCATCTAATCACGTGACTGTATCATTTAATCACGCGACTGTTTTACAGAGGACAGAGAGGAGCTGCAGGATGACTTGTATTACAGTGAGCCAACCTACGAGGACGTGCTCAACATCACCGGCAAAAACCTCGATATTTCAGATAGGAGATATCGTTAGTTTGTTCTTTTGTTTGTTCTTTTGTGTGTTCTTTTGTAAATTGTTCTTTTGTTTGTTCGAATTGATTTTTTTTTTCTTTCTGATTTAGAACTCATTTGATCAGGATGATGTATCCAAATTTTGAAAAGACAATTCGGTTTGATATTATTAATTTAAAGGGTTTAAAGGACTCTATTTGATTTACTCATAAATAATAGTTACTTTATTATGATGTTATGCTATTCTTCAGAAGAGGATGATAGAGAAGGGTTACTTGAGGGAGCCAAGGATTCTCAGCCTGATGTCACTTTACTATCTACATGGTGCATTATAGTATCACTTTGTACTATAATATATGCTTGTATGCTATCATAACTTCTCGTGACGTATCACGCCTACACGTGACGTCACATTCGCTCACGTGACGTCACACCTCCTCACGTGACATCCCAGTATAATAACCTACACCATCCCACAGGGAACCGGGCACCCAAGACCCAGCGTCACACTTCTCAGTTCACCACTTCTGTACGCTAGCTGTACAGCCCCAGTTACCACGTGTCTTGCATAATATCACACGGTCTGCTCACTTTCAGGGTTTACCTGTCTCTGTGCAGGATATCAGGGTTAGTTATATCTTATTTAATTTTTAATATCTTATTTAAGTTTTTTACATTAAATTTAATAAATTAAGATTACATTCAATTTTATTATTGAACTTCACGGCTCAATCATTTATCGGGTGTACTTTTAATCAAAATAAAAGATGTTTTCATGATTTAATAACATTTGAAACACGTTATATTGTAACTGTAACTTCGACTTAATTTGACACGTGACTGCATTATTTATAATTTACATATATTTACATATCTGACCAGTTTTAATCAGTCCTGACACTAAAACAGCTCCCTTCTCCAGTCAGAGACGTCTCTGTCGTGGTTTGTGGAGACACCACGTGATGCACCAGCCGAAGAAGAAGGAGATGATGTTCACTTGGATATTAAGATTGAGGGTGCTAAAGTTCCTGAGATTCGAGATAAACAGTTAGTAGATTTAATTACAATTCCATCAGGCTATATCAATGATAGACAGATCTTATGATATTCTTTTGAAAAATTAAATTTAAAAAATATTTATAACCTATCAATTTTAGGTTGTATTGGACGCCTGCCCCACCAAAGATGGACTTACCGCCACTATTTATCAAGACACACCTCTTTCCTAAATATGAGAGCGCCATAGCTACTGCTGAACAGCAAGCTCTTCTTAATCAGGTGAGTTGTTAAACACTCTCACGTGACGTCAAACTACCTCACATGACGTCACACTACCTCACGTGACGTCACACTAACTCACGTGACGCCACACTACCTCACGTGACGTCACACTACCTCACGTGACGTCACACTCGCTCACGTGACGTCACACTACCTCACGTGACGTCAAACTACCTCACATGACGTCACACTACCTCACGTGACGCCACACTACCTCACGTGACGTCACACTACCTCACGTGACGTAACGTTTATTGTATGTATATAATATAATATATGTGGTGTGCTTATTTTACAGCAAGCTCTTCTCGATCAGGCTAGTTCTTGAAATGGCCGGCATAAGAATAGAAATATCTCGAGCATTATTATAGTAGTAGGCATGATATCCAATTTTACAAAAGATTGTTTTTTACAAAATCTTTACCTTGCAGCTAACATAATTAACAAGTTAAACAAGGATCTGAAACTACTAGGTTCCGTACAGACTCAACTCTGCACCCGTGTCAATATGTTCATTATATGCAAGCCTCTTGATTTATAATAACTAAATAGGTTACGGTAATGACCGTAATTACCGTAATTACTGTAATTACCATAATTACCGTAATAAACATGTCTACTAAATCGAAATTAAATTTTGGGTCTAGAATTATTTAGTTATTTAATCTTGAAGCACAGGATCATTTTTAACAGCTGTTACATATTTAAGTATAACCGCATTCCAAATATAATGTGTGTTTTTTGAAAAGTTGTAAGAAAAAATAACAAGAAAATATTAAGTAATGTTAAAAGCTTGTCCGATCTAAGATTACCATTCTCAAAGTAGATACTGATAACTGAACGTGTCCAAAACTTAACTAAACAATCAATGATCTAGAAAAAGTATGAGCCCTACAATTATAACCAACAAGAATGTCCTAAGGTCCATGTCACTGCCACTTGTTATATTCCTCTCTAGATCCTCAAGATCCTCAAGATCCTCCAGATCCTCAAGATCCTCCAGATCCTCCAGGTTAAAGCATCTCTGTTCCCTTTTCTTAGGTAGAGGAGAGCACTGATCCAGATCCATGTGCTCAGAGCAGGAGGTGATATAACTGCTGTCATAAGTTTCGTTGTCACCCCTCACTCCAAATCCCTCATCACATTCCACCGTGATGCTCTCTCCAGGGAGGAATACCGGGACTGACACGTCCAGCAGAGCCGTCCCATTTTCAGCTTTTACATCCTTACAAGCAGCTGTTGATCTTTCAGTTCATTTCCAGTAGAGAGTCGGACCCGGTCCAGGGTTGTGGTGCGATTGATGGAAAGAAGAGATCCTAGGGCGATGGAGTTATACCAGGGAAGATACTGCATCAGGGACCATATCCCGTCCTTTTCTGAAGACGGATCTTGTCCGGGACAGAGTAGTAATATTTGGTCATCTGCTTCCTCTCCACCTTTGCAAGTAAGCAGGAATGCTTTAGGCACAATCTCCTCCACAGAGATGAACAAGGTGATGCACATGTTGGTGTTCTTAAGCTGAACTGTTGTTTTCTTGCAACCAAATTGAACGAACTGCCCGTCGGTCGTCACGGATCTCAACTCCCAGGTTTGGTCACATGCTAAGCTCCAAACCAGTGGGTATCCCGTAGGTCTTGTGGTGTTGAGACCCTCATATCCTGTGATGTCCACCTCCACGCATCGTCCTGTATCCGGATTCTGGATAACTAGCCCCGTCTCCTGGCTTCTCTTCATGGTCTCCAAGGAGTCCCGTCTGAAAAGACATGTTTTATCTAGGATTACAGCTAACGACTTTATGTCATTATCGTAATCAAGTTCACTCATTCTTTCCGTGTGCAATGAACACTCCGACAGTTTGTCCAGTGAGATGGTGAAGGTTTGGCAATCTTCCAGGACTTTACAGTACTCCCAACACTGGTTCCCCGGAGGTAGGGTGAACTTTTGGAAGGGTTCAGAATTTAACACGGCGCTTAGGGTGTAACAGCTATTCGAACCTGGGAATATTATCAGCGCGATAGTTATCTTCAGTAGGGTGGTTATTGTCTTTAGAGGAACCATTCTCGTGTAGTCACAATCAGAGACTCTGTAACCAAACTGGAAATAATAAAACGTGGCAAGGTGGTTATCACTTATCAAGGAGAGACTCGCAGAGAGGAACTGAAAGTGCTGCAATGATCAATTTTTATTTGACCCCAGCCAGAACGATCAATATTCCTTTGTTTTCTTTGACCTCCTAATTTTATCATTTTACTGTATCCAATAAATGCAGCAGCGAGATGGTCGCACAGCTCAGTCAAGTGAGAAAACTTGATACAAGGTACTCAAATTTATTGATATTTTTGTCGGCGATCATGTCTCTCCTTTAAAAACACATAATGCGTGGGATGACACAAAAGAGGTGAGCACAATAGCTCAGCTGGTGATCAATGGAGTACAAAACGTTAAATCGATGTTGGGAAACTCAGTCTCAACCAGTCTTTTGTATTAAAGAGAGGCTGAACCTGGATGGTTCACAAAAGAAGAGAATGATGATGCTCTGCCTGCCTGGAGTCTGGGGTATGGCTACCCTGAAGGGAGTTACCGGAGTTATCTATTCGAGAAGATGAGGGAAGTGGCTAGTGAAGGGGATGATAGTTTTAACCCATTAGGGACGATAGGGTCGTTTACGACCCACCTTTTCTAGAGGCTATAGAGGACAAACCATTATACTAAACGCAACGAATCTTTCGCACATATGCTCAAAATTTATTGGGCTACATTATTGACTTTCCAGTCGAGACCCAATTAATTACTAACAACTAAATAATTAGGCTAATTAGTCGTCATAATTGGAAAATATTTCACTTTACTTCTTGCCTTGATTGGGACATTAAAACTTTATGTAGGCTTATTTTGTTGAGGACAAAATAGTTGCGGGCAACGATTTCCTTGAGACATATGAAAAGCCCGTGATAATCAGATGTTCACAAACAGAGCTAGACGCTGTTTACTAAGTGCGGTCGCATACGACCCACTCGTCCGGGTCGCAAACGACCCATCACGGTTTTTCGGCTTCAACTTCTGAAACAAAGACGTTAGGATAAAATAAAAACTGTAGCATAAGTTAAAAACATATGGTCAATACTGTGTAACTCTAACTTTTTAAAAATAAAGAATTTGGGTCATTAACGACCCACTCGGCTCACTTGCTTATTACTACATATGTCCATGTAACTTCTTGAATTCAGCCTAAAGCATGACATCATAAGTTCAAAATCGCCTCTCAGCAAGTGATAATCATCATAAACTGCGAAAAATCGGTTAAATGGGTCATTAGCGACCCACTAGGACCACAAAATTGATTAATTAAATATAATGTTGTCAAACTTTTACAAATATTAGTATAAAAACATGTTTTATCTTGGTCATTACTCCTGTACTTTGATTTAACTTTTAAAATCGATCAACTGGGTCAATAACGACCCACTCGGAAGTTGAACCACCTCATTAATTATTATCAGTATCATGCTGTTCCACCATCAACAAAGACACTCGTAGGTCTTAATTCCACGCAAACCACGGGTGGCTGACTACTAGCCCTTCTGAGATCCAGGGCCAACTGAAGGGCCGTCATCACTCATCAAAGAGCTGCGAGAATAACACTACTGCATATGCCTGGAGTTGCGTCCTGACTAATACTATGGTGCGTGGAAATCCTACCGAAAGGACCGTGGCCGTGCCGCAAAAGAAAAGGAATCGGCCCTCGTTCCTAACTTGCTAGGTATAGCCATGCTGTTGTTGTTGCTTATTAGATTCTGTTACCTTTTTCGTCAATTTCGAATCTTGGTAAACGACCTGCTACAACCCACCGCTTGAGACCCAGGGTCCCACGGTGATCAGATCATGTCACTCAAGCAAAATCCCCTGAACGAAGTATACGAGATATCATGTAACCTTGGGTAAATACTGAAAGACGAGTGGTCAAATTGCATATTCTAATCCAACATGCCAATCTGTTTTTTTTTCATTCCTAGAAAGTACGAGAATAACTAAACAACTGCTGCATTCAGATGGCTACATCTACAGCTCTGTGAAGAAGTACAAGGAAAAAGCCCCCCCCCCCCCCCCCCCCCCCCCATTTGGCTGGCGGTGCTGCAACCTGCAATCTCTCAGACAACTACCTCGTTGTGGGTAACAAACCCCGCAACAAGGCAGCTTTCAAAACGAAAACAAGTATTACGTAATCGGCCGAGAGGGAGGGGAGTTTCCAAATGATTACGCTTGTGTAATTTTGACATAATAGCTATGCGGTGGGGGGGGGGGGGGGGCGTAAAAATTGTCCAATAAGTGATTACGTAATATATGAACGGCCCCTAAGAAGTAAAGAAAGGGAGCTGCGAAGAGAGTAGATGCAGCCATCTGAAATCTGAATCCAGCAGTTGTATAGTTCTTCTTGGACGTTATATGAATCGGGAAAAGATAGGCATGTTGTTTGCTGTCTCACGGCATTACGGTCGTGTACTAACAGCTGATAAACTCACCTACCTATCAATCCAATTCTGCCCATTATTCGTCAGTCATCGGGTGACGTGATCTGCAGATTACCGTGAGACTCCAGATCTCAGAAGGGCTAGTAGTCAGCCACCCGTGGTTTGCGTGGAATTAAGACCTACGAGTGTATTTCTTGATGGTAGAACAACATGATACTGATAATTTATGTCGTGGTTCAACTTCCGAGTGGGTCGTTATTGACCCAGTTGATCGATTTTAAAATTTAAATCAACGTACAGGAGTAATGACCAAGATATAACATGTATTTATACTAATATTTGTAAAAGTTTGACAACATTATATTTAATTAATCAATTTTGTGGTCTTAGTGGGTCGCTAATGACCCATTTAACCGATTTTTCGCAGTTTATGATGATTATCACTTGCTGAGAGGCGATTTTGAACTTATGATGTCATGCTTTAGGCTGAATTCAAGAAGTTACATGGACATATGTAGTAATAAGCAAGTGAGCCGAGTGGGTCGTTAATGACCCAAATTCTTTATTTTTAAAAAGTTAGAGTTACACAGTATTGACCATATGTTTTTAACTTATGCTACAGTTTTTATTTTATCCTAACGTCTTTGTTTCAGAAGTTAAAGCCGAAAAACCGTGATGGGTCGTTTGCGACCCGGACGAGTGGGTCGTATGCGACCATAGCTGTATCTTTTAAAGTAAACGAGATACAGATTAGCTTTTTTGGATATCTCATTTTTGCTGTAAAGTGACCTAGTGTGTTAAACGGTATCAAAATCGGCAAACTTTAAAACTCGTCGTCCCTAATGGGTTAAGTGAAGATGAGGGAAGTGGCTATTGAAGGGGGATGATAGTTTTAAGTGAAGATGAGGGAAGTGAAGTGGTTAGTGAAGGAGGATGATAGTTTTAAGGCTGATTTTCATTATTTACTAGCCTTATCAGAAACTGTTGTTGATTCAATTAATAAACAGTTGTTAACAGAGGAATTTGATGACAAAAGTCTGCTCCTTTGCAATATAGACCACTCACCTATAATTATGTGTATAGGAAGCGTCTGTTATGCTGTGCGCGACGCTAGTTATGTGTTAATAAATTACAGTGAAGTTCCTCCTTCGCAAAGTTATTTTCCGCAATTTTCTGGATTCATTTAATTTTATTGTTGATGCGCGGCGCAACATTGGTCAAATAAATCGTCAATTTTTACCATTGACCATGCACGAATCCCACTCATTTATTAAAAACATAGTATGTAAATATGTTGCACTTTTTTCCAGTCACACTTTTCACTCGAAAGAATTAATGGTACAAGTAAGTACATCGAAGGGAAAATTGATCGTGCGTGGTTTAACCGCGACGAAATTCTTGTTTGATAACAGTATAATAAAATGTGCAGGTTGAGTCGATGGAAAGTTCCACATCTGAAGAAGACACTTTATCTGACGAGACGGACGAGGACGATAGAGCCCTCAGAAGGAGGTTTGTTAAACACAAGGAAATGTTTTTAAACGTGATTTAGATATAGCTGTTAGGAGAATGTTCAACAAGAACAAGGAAATGTTTTTGACAGAAAGTAATCTAATTGACAGATACAGCATCTCTGGGTTCGCCATAAAACTCACTGATACTACCGTGACCGTGGCTTAAGATCACTAGCTGCTATTTCAATGAACATCGCTTATTATTATAATTCTAATTTTCATAAGAAACCTAATTTTATCATAATTTCCAATTCTATTTAACATAATATAATATTAACAGAGTGTTAACGAGACGACACGGCTCCTCTCAAAGTGTTACCAGAAAGAAACATGAAATGGAATTAGTAGGACCTGATAAAATAAAGATAAGGAACCGGAGGCTGTAAGTTAATGAGTTAATCAGCACTTAGTGTACAATTTTTTGTAATGTAAATTCACTGTAATGTAAAATGTTCACTTATAAAAAGTAAATTCTTAATTATAACCCGCTGTGACTCTAAGTTGGTTAACTTAATCTTATTTTAGCAGTACATGATGTAATGGTAAATATATTCTTATCATTATTTATTGGACACCTCTAATCACGTAACTAAACCTTTGTCCCTAACGCAATATATGATCAATCCATAATTAGTTTATAATGCATGATAACGTATTTTTCCAATGTGTACGCAATTTATTTTTGAACTAATATAATATGATAATAATACTGAAACATTATTCTTCGAAATAAACAAATTGCCAACAGTCAGTACCAAATTTGAAATTTCTGGGAGCAATTAATGAACATAGTCACTCTTCATCAATAATACGGTTTCAAGTTCATGGAAGACAAAAGAAACAAATAATCGCATAAATCCCACTTCCCCACATTTCCCCAGTTTCTACAGCACAACCGAAACCTATCTTCTGAGGATTATCTCCCAAAGATTTCTTGGTGTCGAACAGCCTATTAATCATATTGTAGCATTTAGTTTTTCTGGGACTTACATCGTTCCAAATGGGGAAAAGCCTTTTTGCTACACTGGCTTCGTTAAGGTTAGGGCAGTTCAGATAAATCAGTAAATCCTTATTCTTGGGTGTTTCTTCGTTTCTCTTCCTACTCTGCTCCCAGAATTCCATGGCCTTTTTAGCCATCTCGCTCACTTGATAATCCTCACGTTCCATACTGTTATCTGCAAAAGCTTCCATGATCGCGCTGAAAAGCATCATTAAGTTATCAATACGGCGATGATTGGCGAGCAAGGATGAATATATTAATTAAATAATATTACAATTAATATAAGTGTTATGTTTAAATTCAATATCATGAATTACCCACTATTTGACCTTACTAAAAAACATCATTATTTGGTGACTAACTAAAACTTACCGATGGCAGTTGTCTCCCTGAGATTTAATCATACTTCTTAATCCCTTAGAACTGTTTGTTTGTTGTCCTGACGTTACGGTCACAACTCCCACTAAGAACACCAAACACTTAACCAACAACATCACGAATTAATGAGTCGGTTGAAGAGCTCTGTCAACGTAATTTTCATTTTTGTCACTGAGAACGGATCTTATAAGCTCAGAATATTTCGAAATCATCCTATTATGTAAAACCAGATGTTTGATTGTGGCACCTTACTTCAAAACTCAGATGATTGTCCTGAAAACTTGTAGGATTATGATTATACTCTCTTTCGAGACTATTATATTAGCCCATTTACTCTCGAATTTCTACGTCGACTGACCAAACTTGATTAAAAGTTTTCGCACCTGGAGTTTCTGGTACTGATTTGCATGATAAGTTAGAAAACAATTATGAACACCACGACAAGAAGATTGGCCCACCATTATAATAATGTGTCGTGCAGTACCTATCGTGGTAATAAAGAAATCTGCTGAAATAACGTTAATTTTATAGTCTTGAAGTTTTTTGTGGTATTGCACAAGAGATTGAACTCCGACTGATTTGCATGATAAGTTAGAAAACAATTATGAACACCACGACAAGAAGATTGGCCCACAATTTTAATAATGTGTCATGCAGTACCTATCGTGGTAATAAAGAAATCTGCTGAAATAACGCTAATTTTATAGTCTTGAAGTTTTTTGTGGTATTGCACAAGAGATTGAACTCCGACTGAAATCTATATAACAAAATGCACGCTCATAGATTAACATTATTGTATTGGGAAACCAAACAACAACTAATCATAAGTTCATTAATTATATAATATTTAAGCGGTAAGCTTGGAACCAGCACTATGTGGAGACAAAAAATGTGATCTGACTGGGACTCAAAAATCATAAACCCCGATTTTCCATACACTCCGATTTGCCGTACTGTTTTCTTTTCGCAAAACTTCACGCCGTACGGTAGTAAGCTAGGGTTGAACTCTAACTCTAACTCTAACTCTAACTCTAACTCTAACTCTAACTCTAACTCTAACTCTAATTCTAACTCTAACTCTAACTCTAACTCTAACTCTAACTCTTACTCTAACTCTAACTCTAACTCTAACTCTAACTCTAACTCTTACTCTAACTCTAACTCTAACTCTAACTCTAACTCTAACCCCCATTATTCCAGGACGAGGCCAGGATCAGCTCCCATCCTAACAGAGTCAGAGCCTCACTCACGCTACAAATCAGACTATTACACATCATACGGAGAGATAAAGAACTATCGCTCTCATATGGTAGAAGTACAGACCAAGTTAAAGGAGGAGGAGGCTATCCAACAGAAGAGACTAATCAAGCAGGTAGATACTGTTGGATCCAGAACCGATTTGTATAGAATTATGTACTAGTATTGAATTTATTATGCTAAACAGGAAACAGGTCGAGACAAAGTTTATTTCAGGAATCTTCAGTTCCGTGATACCTATTTTGAAGGTTATAATATTATGTAATGAATCAGCATGATTCATAGGACCTGAAAAAGGCACCAAGAAGGCACTAAAATCTTCGCATAAAATATCATAGTAAATAATCTATGCACATAATATATAGCGATGTCTGATATATTCTGTATGCACAGGAGAACAGAAAGACAGTGTCCCCCGACAAGTACGAGCAGCTAGTGAGACCCTACCTCAGTACCCCGATATCCGATAGAGGAACCCTGGCTCTCAGTTCCTCCTACACCAAGCTTCTTCCTATTGTCAACCAAGTCGGTCAGTCAGAACTTTAAATACGGTGGTTTTAGTGTCAAGTGATAAAAACGCGTATACCAACAAAAACTACTCGAATACAGTGATACTGTGATTTTGATAAAATCAGTTCATTATTTTATGTCACGTCATCGTAAAACTGTTGGATAATTTTTCTTTTGTGTTTGACTTTAAAGCGATGAGAATTATTGGACAACACTCTTACATGTTAAATTGTGTCACGTGATAAGAAATGCATTACTCTGATTGGTTAGTCTATATCACGTGACTGCTCGCAGAAGTAAAGACTAAGATAAGCAAGAAGGAGCTGACGGATGTGAAGGAATGTTTGGTTCAGAGCAGAAAGTTGAAGAGAACCACATCGTGTCCCTGTATTCTACAGGAGTTTGAACTAAGAAAACGGGCTAACAGGTTACTTTGATTTTATTGTTGAAACTGGCCATGTTTAAGATTGAAACTTTTTATGTTTTAAATTTTTCGGAATAAAATTGTTCCCGGAAATACGATTCTAGCTATACAAAGTGATTCCAATTAGTAATTGTCAGGAAAACTTCCAGGAGAGAGTCCCAGCTACATTTATACCACCTTTTCGTTTTTCAAATGTCCATTTATAAGTTAATTAATATTTAATACCAAAAGACTTCAATAAATTGAAGCATGGGTGCATCAGTGAGATGGTCGCAGGGCGCAGGCAAGTGAGAAAACTTAATAAAAGGTTCTAAAATTTATTGATATTTTTGTCGGCGATCATGTCTCTTCTTTAAAAACACATAATGCGTGGGATTTAACACAATAGCTCAGCTGCCCAGTGCAGCTGGTGATCAATGGTGTACAAAACGTTAAATCGATGTTGGGAAACTCAGTCTCACCCACAAAATCAAAGTAACCTACTACTGAGTACTGACGGGTTACTTTGATTTTATTGTTGAAACTGGCCATGTTTGAGATTGAAACTTTTTATGTTTCAAATTTAATAACCGTGCTTCTTTACACATCTTGATTCATCTTGATTCCACTGGCATCCTCCCACAGGACTGCCATACCCCAGAGGTAGGCAAAGCGTCCATATGCTATCCTCTCGTGGGCCAACCAGGCCCAGCCTCTCTTTAAAAAAAAAAAACCGTGCTTCTTTGTCTATTGTATTTTTTATCATTTTATTCTATTTTACGGTTGCTCACAAGTATAACAAATAAAAAGAATCACGTGTGATTTTGGAAGTTCCTTTGCACGCATAATTATACCTTCTTGATTCTCATAAAAACCGAGAAATATTTTAGTTTCAGTCAGCTTTTTTTTAGAATGAATACTTTCCTTTTTAAATTATATTTTTGGAGGTAGCTTAAATATTACCTTTGCAGGCATAATTATGCCTTCTTTATCCGTTATAAAAACCGAGAAATATTTTAGTTTTATTCAGGCTTGGTGAAATTTTAAAATTTCTCCGAAAATTTGCCTACATTCCCAACTTCCTGTTTTACAGTTTCATTTGTACTTGTCTCTTTCAACCGGATATTATCCAACTATCTTTTGTGATTTGTTCAATATTATAAAGTGATTTTACTAACTTCTTGAATTTTTTCAGAAATTATTTACATTCTAGTTAGTTTAAGAATTTTGGCCTTGTTTCAATAGAATTAATATGTTACAGCTTTACAGGCTCAGTAATGGTCTTCAGCTTTCAACTTATTATTATATAAGGTTCCTGGTTCAATACAATCTAAATCACATAACCTCGCTCCTGATCAAATGGGTTGATAGCAACGGACTCGCTCTCAATCTCAAAAAAACTCACTATATGAGTATACTAGTGTAACCCGTGCCTATGGCTGGGACTTCATTATCGCAGTTGAAATACAAAAGTATAAACCCGCCTATTATATTTGAAAACACGCATAACATTGTCGTATGAAAGTATGAACTCTCAGTCCAAACCGACCGCAATGGGTGCCCCCTCCCCTAATAAGCTTTTAGTATTACATTACAGTTAATATCGAGGCTAACCTAAATTTTATGATTTATGTACCAACGCTGCCTAAGCTATGGTAAGTGCCTATAATGGGAGAAAGAGCGAGGAGGGAGAAAAAGTGATCCATTTTAAGTCACATTTATGGTACAAAACCATCAATTAAACCACTTACCAGCGACCGATTTAAAAAACCTTTATCATTTGGCTTCTTCAGAGTTTCCTCGGCACTATACCGAAGAAACCAGTCCCGTAACTTTTAGCGTCTTCTTGATTAAGCCGCTCGGAAATTACACGCACACGGACAGACAGACACAAAGACAGGCACGCATTCTGAGATTATTATTTAAGATGGTAATGGTATTTAGCAATCATAGAACGACAACCCTTTCTAACATATAAGTTTCCATAGCTGGAGTAGTGGTAGATCAAGTGACTGAGGCACGTTTTCTCGGAGTAATAATCGATGAAAAATTAACGTGGAGCAAACACATACATGCATTTAGGGCTAAGATGAATAGATACATGGGTATCATGTACAAAATTAAACAGCACTTACCATTAGAAGTGCGGCTTCAAATTTATCACAGCGTTGTTCAATCCCACCTAAATTTCTGTTCCCTTGTTTGGGGTTTAGCAGCCAAATCACACATTGAGTCACTATTTGCCAAACAGAAACAGGGAGTGATAATGGTTATGCCAGGTTACGTCAACTATTTCTATAAGGACGGCCAATTGCCTGCACACAAGAGGGATAGCTTTAAGGAGTATGGAATTCTTACAATTCATGGAATTATCGTGAAGAATGCACTTATATTAATGCACAGGATGAAATACTTCCCTGAAACAGTGCCAAAATCTGAAATCAACCAAAGGCCTTTTTCCAAGTAATATCCCGACAGTTAATTCCAGCCATGAGACTAGCTCTGACTGAGCCAGAAACAATTTACTGAACAATTTACTGACAAATTTGTGATATTGGCATACTTTAACTGTTTTTTAAACGTTAATGTTATAAAATATCAATTCAGTAATTATTTTACCGACCAGATAGCAAAGTAAGCACGCTCGTGAGATAGAGTGTCAGTGAAATGAACACTGGTTCAATGTTGACAGTTGTAATGATTCTTGGAACAGCAGGAATCGAGGCGCAATACAGGCAAATCTATAATTTTGCATCAACCTATCCTTTTGCAGCAACAAAGTTACGCTATGAGCAAACTTCTGGTCCTTCGGAAGTACACAAGATGGCAGTAACCAACTGTTCCCAAGTTCTTGTAGACCGATACCTCAAAGAGAAGTGTCTCATAAACAACAGATGGTACTTTAAGTGCATTAAATCTGATAGGTTTTATAGGGTAATGAAGGAAACGTGTCTTGAAACAAAGTTCTCTAGAGTTTGTCCAGACGACGCCACCTTCTATCAAGCGTGTGGACACAGTTCTTGTAACAGAAAAACCATGCGCGATTTCCAGAAGACCAGAAGTAGAGGAAACAGTCAGGACTCGGTTTATGGTCCCAGGATCGCAGTCTGTGGAGAACCAATTTGTCAGGAGACAGCCAAAAGGTACGAACAGGATATCAAATATGGTAACCCTTACGATGGCGAAAGGTTCTCAGATAAACGCTATCGGAGAACAGGCAATTCATATAACAAAGAAACTTGGGATTTGGCACGATGCCGTGGTCTTGGTAGCTGTGCGAATGAGATAGAGGGAGTAAAAGTAGATGAGTACGGTTGCCACAAGTCTCAAAATAGGTACAACTGTGTTGACTCAGGAAGCAAAAGTATCGGAAGAGACGTTGTCTGCGATGGTAAATGTGACTGCGACTATTGTGATGACGAGGCGAAGTGTAATAACATGACCGTGGGGCTTTTTTGTACGGATCCTGGTGGAGAGATGATTTACGTTCGACCGAAATATATTTGTGATGGAACGCCCAGAATCAACTGTGCTGAAAGAGCTGATAAACAATTATGTTATGGTAAGCATGAGACATGCTGGAATGCGCCCATTGCTACAAGGAAAAGATACTTGACTCCAAGGTCCAAATGCTCGATTCCTGATGCAAATTACCCGATATGTATGAGGCACAAAGATCAGATGAATTGCACTTATTCTACGATAAGCCCCCTGAAATGCGATGTGAAGGGCTACCCAACTACCATCTCGGAACACGTGATCTGTAAAGATCTGGCTCTCTGCGATGACCAGTTGGATGACGAGTGCGTAGAAGCGGAGTTTCATTGTAAGATACACAAACACAAGCTATGTAATGATGTTGAAGACTGCAAGGCTGGAAGAGATGAAGGAAACTTCTTCTGTAAAGATTTGGCATACCAGAAGATTAACTGTGTCAGACGATTCTCTTATGAAAAGTCTGCTACAAAAATTCCCCGTCAATGGATCATGGATGGGGTGGTGGATTGCATGAACATGATAGATGAAGATCATTTATCCTGGGTTAAAGAGTGTGGTACAGGGACTAAAACTTATCATGCGTTTGCTGGGGAAAATGGAACTGACTGTACCCTGATGATTCAGCTAAAGTGCCCAAGAACAGATCACAGGTTAAACTTAGACCGTGTATGCTCAGTAGTCTCTGATAACTGCGATGCTCAGGTCTGTGTTGGCGCCAGGAAAGAATATGAGGTGATCAGTCAGGTAAAAACGAGATCAGGAAATTGGAACAAAAATTTGTTTTACTGTTTGCCAGGTTTGAACAACCTTGAAGACCATGCTGGAAAATGTTCTCACACCAGGCTTCTTCATCAGAGAAAAGTAATTGGAATTGAAGATTCTCACGTAAAAACCTCAGAGTTATATGCCAAAAACTACATTGACTGCAGGAACCTTTTTGGAGAGTATTTTGTGTATGTTTCATGTGCCGGACATTGTAATTTCGCGAAGGCGTGCCCTTTGAAACCACTCGATGTTTCTGACTGTATGAATTTTCCTAAATCTAAACTTGTTTTTTCGTTGGCCGAAGACGATACCTTGGCCCTGGCTATTATAAAAAGCAAGAGATACAATAAGGAATATTTTGCCTGCAGGAATGGAGTCTGTATTGAGTTTGATAAAGTTTGCAACTTAGAGGACGATTGCAAGGATCAGTCCGATGAGGAAAATTGCATTAACAATTTCAAATGTTCAGAGTCAGGGGACTTCGTCCCTTTTTCCAAGAAATGTGATGGAGTGTTTGACTGCTTAGATTACTCGGACGAATGTAATGAAGAGTGTGAAAACCAAATAAACATGTTCGATCCTGCTTCTCTCCTCATTGTGGCATGGGTATTCGGAGTATCTGCCATCCTCTTGAACATTGTCACCTTGGTTCACGGACTGGTGGAGTACCCTAAACTGAAGAAAGAGAATGCCCTGATAAACAGGTTCTTTGTGCTGATGATAACTTTTGGTGACCTGCTACAAGGTATCTTCTTGGTTATGCTATCATTACTATACTCTGTAGAGGGGAAATTTTTTAAGGAGAGCACTTGCAGGACACAGTTCGAATGGACCACAAGTAAACTCTGCACTGCTCTGGGAGTTTTCTCGACTGTAGGGTCGTTATTATCTCTCTACTCAATGACCATCCTTAGCATCATCCGAGCTTCTACCGTTAGGAATCTAGTTGTACCAGCGGATGGTTTGTCGAGGAAAAAGAAACTCTATCTATTTGGAGCAGGGTTTACAGCTTTGTCAATCGCCGTTGTGTTCGCAATAATTCCGGAAATTGTTCTGGAGGATTATTTTGTTCAAAATCTCAACTACAATAACAATCCGCTGTTTGTCGGAGCCCCGGACAAGAAAAAACATTTAAAGATCTTTGAAGCGTACTACGGAAGAATTCAGAGTGGAAACATTCAAAAGGCAGCCATGCCTTGGGTTACGATAAGACATCTTGTACAGGACATGTTTGAAAACGGTATCGTCTCCGGAACCAACATAGGTTTTTACGGTGAAAATGGACTGTGTTTGTTCAGCTACTTTGTGAAAAATGACAGTTCCTACCGCTGGTTCTCCATGACCGTCCTCATTACAAATCTGTTGTGTGTGCTGATAATTGGAGGATGTTACGTTATGGTAAACATCTTTGCTACTAAAATTTCAGGTGCTGCTGCTGCCAACAGGACCTCGGAAGCTGCCAAGACGAGGCGGAAACTTCAGAGGAAAATCACCATTATTATCATGACAGATGTGCTGACATGGTTACCCTTTATCATAGTCTGCATTATTAACTTCATAGAGTTAGTCGATACTTCGCACTGGTATTCTATCTTCTGTATTTTCTTCCTTCCGATAAACTGTATTATCAACCCAATAGGGATATACGATGAAACAATGTATAAAATCTCAATCAGTGCTGTTCAAAAAGTCAGGAGTAGGTGGCATAAGTGGTGGAAATGGTTAATTGAGCCTCCAGAGCACGAAGAAATCGACATGTCTACAGCATTAGAATCACGAGACACAGCAGTAGAATCTCGAGGCACAGCAGTAGAATTACGAGGCACAGCAGTGGAATCACGAAACACAGCAGTAGAATCAGGAGACACAGCAGTAGAATCAGGAGACACAGCAATTGCATCAGGAGACACAGCAGTAGAATCAGGAGACACAGCAGTAGAATCAGGAGACACAGCAGTAGAATCAGGAGATACAGCAGTTCAATCAGGAGACACAGCAGTAGAATCAGGAGACACAGCAGTAGAATCAGGAGACACAGCAGTAGAATCAGGAGACACAGCAGTAGAATCAGGAGACACAGCAGTAGAATCAGGAGACACAGCAGTAGAATCAGGAGACACAGCAGTAGAATCAGGAAACATTACAGTAGAATCAGGAGACACAGCAGTAGAATCAGGAGATACAGCAGTTCAATCAGGAGACACAGCAGTAGAATCAGGAGACACAGCAGTAGAATTAGGAGACACAGCAGTAGAATCAGAAGACACAGCAGTAGAATCAGGAGACACAGCAGTTGAATCAGGAGACACAGCAGTAGAATACGTAGACACAGCAGTAGAATCACGAGACACAGCAGTTGAATCACGAAACACAGCAGTTGAATCAGGAGACACAGCAGTAGAATCAGGAGACACAGCAGTTGAATCAGGAGACACAGCAGTAGAATACGGAGACACAGCAGTAGAATCAGGAGACACAGCTCAGTAGAATCAGGAGACACAGTAGTAGAATACGGAGACACAGCAGTAGCAATGATCGTTCGTAGTAACGTGTGAAAGAAAGCTGATGACTCATCAATTTGGAGAACTCTTTTTTTGATTTATGGAATTTAATGGGAGGGGACACTGATATCTTGATATGAATGGAAATCATGAATCATGAATCATGAATAGAAATCATTTTGGTCGTTGAAAATGAAATGGAGTTCTAGTTATTTGTAATTATACATACTAAATTTCAATTATTTTGCATTTATTTGGAGGACTCAAAACAGGTCCTACAAAAAGTAAGTAGAATCAGACAGGGCGTTATTCTCTTTATAAAACTAAACGAATTTTGCGATTCACTGGATAAGACTGTTTGCTAATTTAAACTTCATTACTCATATTATAATAAAGTGTTCATTGTAACTTTGCCAAAGTTTAAAATGTTTGAGAGCTCTCGGGGATGCCTCCTGGGACTTGAACTATTGAAATCACTTTTTTTCCTCCAACACAATCACAATTACTTAGTTCACCAACTGACCCACCTTACCACCCTCAGTTGTAACGATCTCAGTAAGATTGGTGGCGAGTGGGAGGACTACAGAACAACAGCTACTGCCCTAGAGGGAGACCAATCTACCGGTATTCGCTCATAAGCTGGGAACTCTGCTCAGTAAGGACATTGTTCTTCTACATCAAATCATCAAGAAGGACAATCCTGGTGAGTGAAGAATTTCTTTTTTGTTGTACTTTTTCAATTGTTTCAGAAGTAATTTTTTTTGCAAAATGGCTGCAATGTCTTAGATCATCTAGGTTTTAACCAGTAAAAATCGGGAAAAATGTCTAAAATATGATTTCAATTTTTTGATCCTCTCAATGCTCAACAGATCCTTACACGCTCTAGTTTCTAACTAACTGATAACACTTAAAATACCAGTGCTATACTCGGAGCTACTGAACGAAGTGCATCGCCTAACCACCGAGATATTAAAGGAAGGTGACTATCTGTTCTACAATAAAGCTAGGAGAGGAGCTCTCTACGTGAAACTGGGCATGTTCAAAGACGCTCGAGTTGATCTTGATAGGTTTGGTTAAATAATTATTAATGATTAGTTTGGTCCTTTTGTGTTTAACTGATACTCTGAACTTGAGTTTTTAACGGATAAAAGAATTTGTATTACTCGTGTTTTGCTCATAATACTAAAAGTTAAACTCGATTCTTAAGCTATAATATTATGTCCTGCACGGCAGGTAACATTTCAATTTATATAATTACACAAATTCTTTGCCCCTTTATTTTATAAACGTATTGGTGCTCCTCAGTGTTATTGAAGCGATGCCCCAGATGGCAGACGCGTATTGGCATAGACATATCATTTACGTTATACAGGTTTGTTAAATGCACTGACTTTCTCGTATAATTTAAAGTTTAATCGTAATTCGTAAATGTAAGATAAAATATGTTCTTATTTTCAGTCTTGTAGTTACTTTCACATGGGAGTCCAATGGGGCTTCGACTAACTTTATCTTGTATAGTTGTATTGGTTAAGGAATAAATCACTGTATTTCAGATTAATTATTATTGTATTATAATGTGAAGGTACGATAACAACTCCATCCCAAGGGTGACATGAACACGGCACTGAACGATCTGACCAACATCATCAGACACAACCAGAACCAACCGCGCGTGTACCTTGCACGTGCAGAGATATACCAAAAACAAGGCGACGTCACCGGAGCAATTCTCAACTACAGTCAGGTCAGATATCAGAAGATACATCTTTATTGATTATTTCTCTGATAATATTATTATATGATTGAAACAACTGTTTCAGTATACAATATTTGATTCGTTCACAGTCTTTACAATCATATGATTTCACGAAGCGAAGTATATAGCTGTTCATGTTTCGAAAAAAATCATTATTGACGGAACAAATCTACTAAACTCAGAAGATTTTAAATTGCAAATGTCACAAATATCCTAATGACCTGTAATACCCTAATCTGTATCTTACAAATCTCTTCCAGGCGCTGAAAAGAGACGCAAATAACGCGGAGACGTACTATAAACGAGCAGATCTATTCGAGGAGAAAGGAGACATCCTACTGGCTCTGGAGGATTATACTATGGCTAACAAACTGTGTCCTAGTAACACTATTGCTATTCTTAAGAAGGGAAAATACAACTTTGAGAGGGGGTCTGTTTGTGATATTATTAAATTTATTATTAATAAATTAGTTATTAAATTAGGATTCAACTTCAAAAGTGTTGATTTTTAGCACAAGCTCGTCAAATCTATGGGATAAACAACACGATGTTATTTTTTGCATTCAATTGGATAGTTATCGTGAGTAGTCATTGTGGAGTAGTGTCTTTTAAACCAATCGGAAGACAAGAGTGGTTTAAAATTTAGCATTAATTGTCAATTGTCATTTTACATCAGTTCTCAGGACAAGGTACTGGGACAAACTAACATTCACCTCACACCTCAGCCTGGTCTTGTCTCTAATACTGACAACACCCATTACAGAGCGTACAGTGTAGCAGTAGCTGACTTCACAGCGATGTTAGAGCAGGAACCCTACAACAGTATAGCTAGAACTTATCGGGGACGAGCTAATGCTAAAATGGTAAGTTTTAGGGGCTTGTCGATTTTCACATAAATAAAGATTTCTAAATGAATCTATAAAATTGACATTGTTAACCTCACCCGTGTGAAAGTATTAAGTAACAATATCATTTTACTAATTACTAGTATACTAATACTAGTATACTAATGAAAAAGAAACTTTTAATGTACTGGAAAGCGCTTCATTGACCAACACTTCACTCCAGGGTAAGTACACAAGTGCACTGGAAGACCTGTCCTGTGCTATACACCTGGACCCTGGTAACCATCTACCATTCTACCATAGAGCTGTGTTACTAAGGAAGGAGAACCCTAAACGTGCTCTCCAGGTAAGGAAGGAGAACCCCAAACGTGCTCTCCAGGTAAGGAAGGAGAACCCTAAACTTGCTCTCCAGGTAAGGAATGAGAACCCTAAACGTGCTCTCCGGGTAAGGAAGGAGAACCCTAAACGTGCTCTCCAGGTAAGGAATGAGAACCCTAAACGTGCTCTCCAGGTAAGGAACGAGAACCCTAAACGTGCTCTCCAGGTAAGGAATGAGAACCCTAAACGTGCTCTCCAGGTGTAAGGAAGGAGAACCCTAAACGTGCTCTCCAGGTAAGGAAGGAGAACCCTAAACGTGCCTTCCAGGTAAGGAAGGAGAACCCTAAACGTGCTCTCCAGGTAAGGAAGGAGAACCCTAAACGTGCTCTCCAGGTAAGGAAGGAGAACCCTAAACGTGCCTTCCAGGTAAGGACGGAGAACCCTAAACGTGCTCTCCAGGTAAGGAAGGAGAACCCTAAACGTGCTCTCCAGGTTAGCGCGCCAATGTTAGACTTTTTTGAGATATTCAAACTATTTTATGATATCTTTAAAGTTATTTTGAAACATTTATCCGAGCATTGAGAAATGATGAGCCTTTGAGAATCGGAGTGGTAACCTTCAATTTTTGGGTTGGACACCCCCAAAATTTCAATTCATTTCTTCCAGTATGCATTTTCAGAACGGATTGATTTATTACCCATCAATGTTTATTAATATGATAATCACGTGATACTTTACAGGACTTCTCTGTGTCAATTGTGCTCAACTCAACAGTTAAAAACAGCAAATCTTTCCTTCACCGCGGTGTCTTGTACGCGGACCTTCACAGGTGACCCATGAACTGGTTATATATGATTTTATTATTACTACACAACCGGTTTTAACTTTAATGTTTCCACCCATAGGTGTACAATTAATACAGTTGAATTTTCTTAATTATATCGCTTTTTTTTAATCTGTCCGCAGACGAATTTTTTTTCAGACAATTCGATTTGAGATGCATATTAATCGAGGCTGCTTTTTTGAAATGAGTGTGATTTGAGAGAGGGGATGTAGATTGGGGCCCTTGGAAATATTTCGGGGAATTTCCTCTCAGAATCAAAATCTATAAATGTAAATTGAAAAATGGTGGATCAAGCATTTGATATCTAAGTTTGGTATTGTGAAACAGAGAATCATGTCGTTTATAATCCCCTTTATTTGGGGACAATCTACTGATTTCAAAAGTGCTCCTGTTGTTGGCCCTTCGAACGTTTCGCGCGATTTGTTACTTTAAACTAACCTTGTAGACAGGATGAATGTTCAATAGTGGCCTCCAATTTTCCATCTTCACACAAGCTCACCCAGCTGCTTCCACCGTTGGTGTACCCCACCCCACAACGTACCGTTATCTCATCTCCATGGCTTACCGGGAATGAGTCATCTGTCACAGTGCTCTTCAATCCGAGGTCGTAACAATTTGCTGAAATGATATGTACAAGCTGATCGTTGAGGTTAAATATCAATAATAGCTCTAACTGCTGCACACATTAGATATATAATACATGTCTCTATAAGTTAATGTATTCAATGTGAGATAAACTTAATGTCATGGTTAAAACCACACTACTTTGAACTAACATTTACAGAGTGGAGGTGACCCAGTAGCCACAATATGCCCATTTTCACACCGCGCACCACTGCCTCCAACATTCGTGTACCCCGGCACACATCCAACTGTTACCTCAACCCCCTGTCTTATTGGTAGTGACTCCTCTGCAATAGAGTTGTCCCATCCGGAGTTTAACTTGCTGCAATTGGCTGAAGTATTCAAGAAATTTAACATAATGAACAAATATTCAAGAAATTTCAACATCTTTTATCTTGAAGCTGTTGTTTTTAGATATAGTTTAACTTCAAGTTCTCAACAAAGTTTCTTTAAAAACTTATATCATATATAAGTACCAAAATACGAAAAATACATTCAAAATCTCAAAGAATTTACCAATATAACTGACCTTTCACAAATCTATACTGAAGAGAAGCGGTATCCTGGTTTATGAACCTAAACTGAGTTGCACTTATATATAATGCATTAGAGCAGTCTTTTCCGTCATAATCACTGTTATACAAGTGAGTCAGAACGAGATGATCATTGAACCAAATCAGCATTCTACTATTCTGATCGTTAGCTATCCTCCAGATTGACGGCACCTCAAAAGGAAACTGATCAAACGCATAAAGCCTATTTCTACTGAGCGTAATATCACAATATCCAATGTGGTACTCCATCTCGGTTCTGAAGTAAATAAAGATTTCTCCAGAATTGTCGCCAGTAGAGGTGAGGAATTGGAGCGATATTTCGTCACCACTACCAAGGCTGGACTCTGTACTGATTTGCAACTCTTGGTTCTCCGAATCGAGGAGCATATTCTCTTCACGAATCACATTTTTCCAACTTCCTGATTGGTTAATTGCTGTCACGTGTCAATAATATGCCTCACCTCCCCATGAGAATCCACATCTATTGTCGATATGTTTTGTAACGAAAGTTAGACAGTACGGGAATGTCCATTGTCCATAACGTTTAAAAATCTTAAAAATGAAGAAGATTAAAAATCTTACCGTCGATGAGCGAAGTTGTCAATGCTATGAAAACCAACAGATGGCCCGTCTTGTTCATAGCCATATATTATAATACTGTGAGAAAAGGGGGATTTAACTGGCGGTCATTAACTTATTATAAACAGCACACCACGTGTTGTGATGACGTCACGTGGTGTGATGACGTCACGTGGTGTGATGACGTCACGTGGTGTGATGACGTCACGTGGTGTGATGACGTCACGTGGTGTGATGACGTCACGTGGTGTGATGACGTCACGTGGTGTGATGACGTCACCTGGTGTGATGAAGTCACGTTGTGTGATGACGTCACGTGGTGACAGTCATATATTATAGTACTGTGAGAAAAGGGGGATTTTACTGGCGGTTATTAACAAAACAGCACTGCCTTGCTTAGCATTCTTTCAGGGGTATTAGAAAACCTCTACCTCATCTAGATTTTAAGAAAGTACACACTTGCTATTATGAACTAAAACGATGTATTAATATAATATAATAATATTGAAAACAAATACTGCCACTCGAATAATATCGAAAATATCAGTAAATAAATGAATTTATGGGAGGAGGAAAAATGAGCCGTGAGCAACAAACCAAAGCAAAGCACAAGTGAGCTCTGAGCGGAGAAACCTAATGTAATGGCTACTAAAGTAATGGCTACTAAAGTAGTGGCATTGTGAGCCTGGCATTAGTCAACAAAACCTGAATCCAGACACTATCATTGGTTGCTTTTCCTCACACTCTGTCTACTAGACAATGCCTAGTCCTCGACTACTACTCATAGTGTCACGTGTCCCATTGTCCCTCTTATCCTTATACTCGTTCGAGGAATAGTATAACGGTATAACGGTCAAGACTAAAGTTAATCGTATTGTGGGTTTTCCCCTTAGTCGTGCAAGATGGGGCTAGTAAATCTTGCTTTAAAAGATCCAACCATTTCTTTATCCCTATAATATTATAGCATGGGTGACTGCAAATCATTTGCCGCTTTTACATGGAAGTTTTTATTTACCATGAGGGTAGAGTAATTTCTACAAGGTGCATGTAAGCCACACGTGGGGAGAGGGGGCGGGGTTACGCTAGAGTAATAAAATGTGAGGTAAAATGACGAAAGATTAAACGTTCCTAATAACAGAATAACGTTCCTAATAAAGATCCTTTACCAGGTACGAGGAAGCAGTTCCAGATTTTGAGGTGGTTGTAGAGCTAGATTGGAACAGTGTGGAGGCTCACATCAACCTAGGACTCATATGTCAGCTCCACCTTAAACAATTCAAGAGGTAAGTTGTACCAGTTACCAGTTACCAGTTACCAGTTACCAGTTACCAGTTACCAGTTACCAGTTACCAGTTACCAGTTACCAGTTACCAGTTACCAGTTACCAGTTACCAGTTACCAGTTACCAGTTACCAGTTACCAGTAACCAGTTACCAGTTACCAGTTACCAGTTACCAGTAACCAGTTACCAGTTGCCAAGTTACCAGTTACCAGTTACCAGTAACCAGTTACCAGTTACCAGTAACCAGTTACCAGTTACCAAGTTACCAGTTACCAGTTACCAGTAACCAGTTACCAGTTACCAGTAACCAGTTACCAGTTACCAAGTTACCAGTTACCAGTTACCAGTTACCAGTTACCAGTTACCAGTTACCAGTTATCAGTTACCAGTTACCAGTTACCAGTTATCAGTTACCAGTTACCAGTTACCAGTTACCAGTTGCCAGTTACCAGTTACCAGTTACCAGTTACCAGTTACCAGTTACCAGTAACCATTTACCAGTTACCAGTTACCAGTAACCAGTTACCAGTTGCCAAGTTACCAGTTACCAGTTACCAGTTACCAGTTACCAGTTACCAAGTTACCAGTTACCAGTTACCAGTAACCAGTTACCAGTAACCAGTTACCAGTTACCAAGTTACCAGTTACCAGTTACCAGTAACCAGTTACCAGTTACCAAGTTACCAGTTACCAGTTACCAGTTACCAGTTACTTTAACAAGAACCAACCCCAGAACACTTCATGAAATCGAAAGGGCACTTTTACTTACTTAAGTCTTTATAAGTTAGTTTGATTTTATTAAAAAGTTTGTACGATAGTGTTCATAAGAGATGTAACTGGAAAACTAACTTTAATAAAAATGCACAACTCACACACTTGTTTGATCAGAATAGTGACTCATCAAACCCCTCCTCTTTCAGAGCTATACATTGTGTACACTATACATTGTGTACACTATACATTGTGTACACTATACATTGTGTACACTGTACATTGTGTACACTATAATGCACAACTCACACACTTGTTTGATCAGAATAGTAACTTATCAAACCCCTTCTCTTTCAGAGCTATCAGATGTTTTGCTGCAGCAATAGATGTGGACCCTACCCAACATAGGGCGTACGTGTGTAGAGGTGACGCTTACAAGGCTATTAAAAAGTTTGGCCTTGCACTGATCGACTATACTCGTGCTAGTGAGTTTTTAAAATATATATTCCATACTTTTGTTAATTTGATTAGTGAGTTTTTAATTTTTGTGCTTAAGATAATATTGTTTAACAGTTGGGAATGTTTTACCGTGCAAAATCAATTCGTCAAATTTAAAATATCAGCCTGTGAAGCAATACATATTTGTGTTCCCTGAATTTGGTGGTTTTGTGTTGTGTTTTAATTTTTAAACTGTTTTTAATTGTTATTTAATTAACTAATTATTTAATTTGGCTTAATATTTATTTACCTCTCAGTTCACATAAGACCGGATGTGGCGCGCTATTACTTGTATCGTGGAAAACTGTTGTTAGAGATGGGACACTTGGACCAAGCTGCACAGCACATCAGGTTCTTATCTGTCATACATTTCACTCCTCCACCATGTACAGTGTACAAAATGTACAGTGTACACAATGTATAGTGTACACTGTGTACAGTGTACACAATGTACAGTGTACACAATGTATAGTGTACACGGTGTACAGCGTACATAATGTACAGTGTACACCATGTACAGTGTACACAATGTACAGTGTACACCATGTACAGTGTACACCATGTACAGTGTACACCATGTACAGTGTACACCATGTACAGTGTACACCATGTACAGTGTACACCATGTACAGTGTACACTATGTATAGTACACTGTACATGGTGTACACATGTACAGTGTACACAATGTACAGTGTACACAATGTACAGTGTACACAATGTACAGTGTACACAATGTACAGTGTACACCATGTACAATGTACACCATGTACAGTGTACACTATGTACAGTGTACACCATGTACAGTGTACACAATGTATAGTGTACAATATGTACAGTGTACACAATGTATAGTGTACACAATGTTCAGTGTACACAATTTATAGTGTACACCATGTACAGTGTACACCATGTACAGTGTACACTATGTACAGTGTACACTTTGTATAGTGTACACAATGTATAGTGTACACTATGTACAGTGTAGACAATGTATAGTGTACACAATGTATAGTGTACAATATGTACAGTTTACACAATGTACAGTGTACACAATGTACAGCGTACACAATGTACAGCGTACACAATGTATTGTGTACACAATGTACAGCGTACATAATGTATTGTGTAGACAATGTATAGTGTACACAATGTACAGTGGACACAATGTATAGTGTACACAATGTATAGTGTACAAATGCACAGTGTATATAATGTATAGTGTACATAATGTACAATGTACACAATGTACAATGTACACAATAATCAGTGTACACAATGTATAGTTTACACAATGTATATTGTACACTATGTACAGTGTACACAATATATAGTGTACACTATGTATAGTGTACACTATGTTCAGTGTACACAATGTATAGTTTACACAATGTATATTGTACACTATGTACAGTGTACACAATATAATATAGTGTACACTATGTATAGTGTACACTATTTACAGTGTACACAATGTATATTGTACACTATGTACAGTATACACAATGTATAGTGTACACTATGTACAGTGTACACAATGTATAGTGTACACTATGTACAGTGTACACAATGCACCAATCACAACATCCGTCTGTACCCAAATTGTAAGCTAGCAGACAGGTATAAACAGCTTTGAGCTAGAGCTTCAGAACGTACATGGTCTCAATAAGATAGATAGTTCCCATCCTCGTAAAAAAGTACACAGGTAACCAAATTATTTTGGTATTTATTATGGCAAAGAAACTGGGTTATATATGAACTGTGTAGTGTATACTGAGGGAAATCGGGACAAACTCTAAAGAGGAACTGCGAACCCTGAAGCGGGACGGGGATATATGGAGTGGCTTATCCGGCGTATCTCGGACCTAGTTCAGACCTAATAGTAGTAGTAGTGGTACTTTATACTGATCTAAGCTAACTCCCTGAAAGACCACTAGCATGTTAACATGGTCTCCAAGAAGCAACGACACCCCCGCTCCAACCTGGAGGAACAACAGCTCCGCAAGCTCATGTACTCCGTCACCAACAACGACTTCAAACAGGTTACTCTTACTCACTTCATTTTCCCTCTCATTTACCCCTCTCTTACCTCCTGATTTCTGCCTCAGATACTTGATATATAGCTGGCCTTAAAACCAAAAATAAATGATAAGTTATATAATTTACAGTTTAAAGATCAATAATTCCAAGCTCATTAACCTGTCAAACAGGTCAACAAGCTGGTCTCCCTGGGTATCCCCAACCTGGTCAACATGCTGGACCTCATCACTAAAGAGACAGCTCTCCACGCTGCTGTTTGTAACGGACTCGAGGACATGGTTAGCTCCCTCTTGGAGCAGGGCAGTAATATCAGTAAGAGAGATAAACAGGGGAGAACACCTCTGATAAGGGCTGTAGATAAGGGGAATCAGAAGATACTGGAGCTGTTGATTGAAGCTGGAGGTAACCCCAATGATCTAGATGGGAGTAAGCAACACGTGTTGTTTCATGGGCTGCAGCCGACTGCGCGGCATTTAGCGTGTATAGAGATATTACTGAGGGAAGGCGCTGATATTAATACTAAAGATCAGAACGGACAGACTATGTTGATACAGACTGTTAAGAATGGGTACGTGGAACAAAACTTAACACTTTTGTTTACTGTTTGTAGCTTTGTTTTTTAGTTGTTGATCACTGATTTCTTTAAGAAGTGGCACTCCTTAATGGCAAACTTATCGCCAGCGTCACTTGTTATAAACACTACTATCTAAATGACCTGTTTACATCACGTGACAACACCACGCCCCACGTAACAACACAACAACCCCACGTGACAACATTAAACCCCACGTGACAACACCACACCCCACGTGACAACACCACACAACATCCAGGTACGTTGACATAACAGAAACACTGATACAGCTGGGGGCTGATGTGAAGTTGAGGAACGACGAAGGAGAGAGTTTGATATTTACAGCAGCTAAACAGGGCCACATGAAGTTGATACCCATTCTGGTTAGAGCGGGGGCTCCTATAAATGAGCCAGGTAATGTTGATGATTTATTGATTGTGCTGATTATTACTGACTAACTATTATTCCTACTAATTATTACTAATTATAACTAATTAATTGCTCAACCCCAGGTCCAGGAGGTAACAGTCCTATACACATCTGTTGTTCTGAGACTAAGAAGTTTGAGATGTTGAAACTTCTTGCGGTCAAAGGTACAAATCTCATAGTTCTCTCGTTCTTTCTCACAAAAACCAAAAATAAAGCATTTCCCGGTGATACATAGAATAATTAAACTGTTTCAGAGTAAGATTTCAATTAAGTTAATTGAATTAATGAAAATACAATTATTATTAAAAGTTAGTTGAATTAATACCAATAAAATATAAATTGCAGGTCTAGATCTACACGGACAGAACGAGGAAGTTAGTTGAATTAATACCAATATAAATTGCAGGTCTAGATCTACACGGACAGAACGAGGAAGTTAGTTGAATTAATACCAATATAAATTGCAGGTCTAGATCTACACGGACAGAACGAGGAAGTTAGTTGAATTAATACCAATATAAATTGCAGGTCTAGATCTACACGGACAGAACGAGGAAGTTAGTTGAATTAATACCAATATAAATTGCAGGTCTAGATCTACACGGACAGAACGAGGAAGTTAGTTGAATTAATACCAATATAAATTGCAGGTCTAGATCTACACGGACAGAACGAGGAAGTTAGTTGAATTAATACCAATAAAATTGCAGGTCTAGATCTACACGGACAGAACGAGGAAGTTAGTTGAATTAATACCAATATAAATTGCAGGTCTAGATCTACACGGACAGAACGAGGAAGGCAACACTCCTCTACATGTAGCAGTACAAGTAGGCAACCAGGAAGCCATCAAGTTCCTGCTCGGTCGGGGCTGCCCTCTGGACATCGTCAACACTGAGGGACTCAACATCAGGAACTTTGCTGTTGCCAACAAAGACAACGCCACTAAAAAACTCCTCAAGAAACAAGAAACCAGGATAAAAAAGGCAGTGACGGACGGGAAGATCCTGAACGCGGGGGAGTTCTGGAAGATGTGTTTATACCTGTGGGCTAAAGAGCACAAGAATATTCTGATAGACGAGTTCTTCGCAAAAGATATTAACCAGACTGGTGTGCTGGAACGGAAGATGTTCTGTGAGGTGTGGGATAAGTATGAAGTGCCTCTAACTGTGGAGCAGAAGTCTGAGATACTCACGCTACATAAGGAGGATAGGAATGGTTTGATCAAGTATTTGGATTTTCTGGATGCTAATTTGTATCTTAAGACGGCTGCATATGATGGGTTTGCGAGGGCTTAGCCTTGTTGTGATTGGTTAGGTTGTGTCACGTGGGGTTTATAGTGTGTTTTGATTGGTTAGGCTGTGTCACGTGGGGTTTATAGTGTGTTTTGATTGGTTAGGTTGTGTCATGTGGTTTGAATACTGTTCTATGAGGTGATGGTATTGCGGGTTTCAGCAGTTTGACGCTCCAAAAATGACTTACTAATGATGATGGGCCGTGAAAGATACGATTTGATATGTGTGTGAAACGTGTAAGGCAAGCTTAAAATTTCAGAGATACTTCTTTGTAACGAAAAGGTTGAGATTTTTTGGGTGATTTTGATAATTGTGCGGCTACGAATCAATTTTAACCCGTATTTATGTTTTAGTAAATTTAGAATTTTTGTTATCATCACATTTATAACCAGAAGACCCAAGGTAATTTGTACTTAATGTATTATGATACGTCTTAAGGGGGCATACACCAAATCTGTCCAGACCAAATGACCTCATAGGCAGTTCAGTGACCTTCTAGCGCACCGTTTCCACACCAAAAAAAATTATTTTGAGAATTCCCATTTTTGTAATCGAGCATTTCCTGGTTAAGAGTGCAATTTTCGGAAAAAATTATTTTGTGGTTGAGACGCTATAAGTTAATCATTTCTTGCGGTATCGGGTTGAAATTTTGCTCGCCGTTTATTCACATCTATTTCAAGGTGTGTGTAAAATCTTGATATCGTATCTAAAAAGGCTGGTGTGTTATGAATTTTTAAAGTCAAAAAGCTAAAATTGTCCTTTTCAGGCTTATTTTAACAAAAAGACAGTCAGGGAAGATCGGATTGATTTGATGCTTGACATCAAATTGTTCTCTGAATTCTGGCGCAGTTTTTGATGCCCTCAAAAATGTTTTTACTCATTCAGCTTCAGATTTATTGGACCTCAAAGCCAAACAACAAATTTAGGCACATTTTTCGTTTTTAATATTTACTGATTTTTCTAAAATTTTGATAGGAATGTGCTAGTGACTTTTTGAAGGGTGCAAAATAACCGCAACTAGCACATTTATATATGAGTTATGAACAACAAAACACCCTAAAATGCTTCCCTTTGAAGTTATGGGAGAAAATGTGATTTTTTATCTGCAAAGCCAAAAAATCACATTTTCTCCCATAACTTCAAAGGGAAGCATTTTAGGGTGTTTTGTTGTTCATAACTCATATATAAATTTGCTAGTTGCGGTTATTTTGCACCCTTCAAAAAGTCACTAGCACATTCCTATCAAAATTTTAGAAAAATCAGTAAATATTAAAAACGAAAAATGTGCCTAAATTTGTTGTTTGGCTTTGAGGTCCAATAGATCTGAAGCTGAATGAGTAAAAACATTTTTGAGGGCATCAAAAACTGCGCCAGAATTCAGAGAACAATTTGATGTCAAGCATCAAATCAATCCGATCTTCCCTGACTGTCTTTTTGTTAAAATAAGCCTGAAAAGGACAATTTTAGCTTTTTGACTTTAAAAATTCATAACACACCAGCCTTTTTAGATACGATATCAAGATTTTACACACACCTTGAAATAGATGTGAATAAACGGCGAGCAAAATTTCAACCCGATACCGCAAGAAATGATTAACTTATAGCGTCTCAACCACAAAATAATTTTTTCCGAAAATTGCACTCTTAACCAGGAAATGCTCGATTACAAAAATGGGTATTCTCAAAATAATTTTTTTTGGTGTGGAAACGGTGCGCTAGAAGGTCACTGAACTGCCTATGAGGTCATTTGGTCTGGACGGCACAAACCACTGTTTTGGTGTATGCCCCCTTAACACTAATTGTAAAATACTAAACCGTTTAAATAATAAACATTTTTTGAGTTTTTTCTTAAATCTACTAAGTATTTGAACTGTAAAGCAACTAAAATAAAAGAAGATTTGTCATTAAGTTTAAAATATTTGAAAGTATTTGTTTTCACAGCATGCCTGTTCCTACAATATTTAAACATTATTAATTAAAAAGTAAGTAAAGTTAAACATACAGTCAGACCCGGATTTATCTGGATTTTCCGAGGAGGCAAATTATTGCATGATAATAATAAAACATATTACACAATACTTCATCATGTTCAAAGAAATATCCTAAGAAATAATGTGATGATTGTAGATAATATAAATCAGGGTTTGACTATTGTACCTATATAATAATAATACAATAATAACAGTTTTGTAGTCGATTTCATCCGTGCTATCCGTGCGATTAATAAGATCTATTTTTGTATTTAGTGTGTTCTTACTTTATAATAATATGTGATTTTAATTATTTTGTGTCCTTTATTAACTTAGTATACGTTTTACTGATTCCAGTATACCGATCGACCGAAGCGAAACCTATCACAATAATTGCTACCTTTATCACCTTATAATCTATTATTTTTTTCTAACGTTAAACTTCCATACCTTGGATCATTGAGACACACTATAATAAGCCATTGTTTCATTCCAGACACATTTCTAGTTTTACACCCGTTACTACTTCATACGAAACATGTTATCCTAAACTTTTTGAAAAAAAAACTCATACATAAAACTTATCCTTGTGTTTCAGGTTCGCCTCAGTTCTGAATACAGACACAGACGGGACCGGACCAGCTGCACTACAAAAGGCAGTGGTACAGTCCTTCCTCCACAACTACGATGATGCTATATTTGTGTTGGATAGGGCCGCAGGACTGGATCCTTCTCCTTCTCAGTATATCTTACTCGGTCAGTTACAAGTTAAAAGAATTTCAGTTTAAATTTACTGGGAGATTTTGAAGGATTGGAGAAAGATATTTGACTTTGAAAGATGTTGAAATATTGAGGGATTTCCATATAGCCATATAATGTTGGTTGATATCTGATGACTAATAATTGAAGAATTAATTGAAAGATATTTTGTGATTTTATCTGAAAATCCATTTATCAACCGCAGGTAAGACGTATCTGAAGGCTAAGCGATACAGTGAAGCAGTTGATAACTTCGAGAAAGCCCTCATGTACCTGGTAACTAATAATTAGCAGCTGATTAATTTACAATTAGCAACCAATTAATTTACAATTAGCAACTTTAACTTATTTCAATTAACATTAACAGCTCATAATAAAAGTTTGCCTGGGCACTGATCAATTGCTCCAGTTGGATTTGTGAATGAAATTGAAAATTTTGACTGCTCCAAATTCTAATTTTATCAATTGAGAACAATTTTCATACTTATCACACATCACCACTGTGTTTATTTCTACCCAACAGCGATACGTTATGTTATCGCTTTAACGTGCTCATTGCCAATTAACCGCTATTCTAACTTGTTTACCCCCCCCCCCCCCCCCCCCCCCAATTAACCTATCAATTAACCTATTAATTAACCTGACCATTATATGATATTAGAGACGTTGTAGAAGTACGATTATTCCCGTAGTCGGGGGAGAAATGGACTATAAAACTGATTTACACAACCTGAACAAGGTAGAAGTGTTTCTGGAGGTCGCGTGACTTGTGTTTGGTCACGTGACTTTGTGTGACCCAGAGATTATTCATTACTGTGATGTGACTGTAACTCTCCCTTAAAACGTTTAAATTCTGCTGGATCTTGTGAATTGTGTTTGTCTTGGTCCAGCTGAACTGTGTGTTGAAAAATGGAAGTTCACGATGAGGAACAAACTAACACGAGATCTCTGTACAAATGTGACATATTGAGATATTGTGGTGAAAAGTGCTGGATTGTGCTTTCAACAGCGCACTTCTGTTTATTTTTTATCTCCTGACTGTGATGTTTAACTCTGAAAAAAAAACTCTTGTATTCTGTGAAAACCTTCTGTAAAAACCTTCAACTTTGTACTGTTGTAGAAACTTTAAAAGTAATAAGTACATTCGGTTTTTATTTCAACATGGACGAAGTTTAATAACACAGGGAACTCGCCATAAACATTTAAAAACCGATTTTAACAGAGATAAAACTTGACTTGAGATCACTATAGACTCACTGCAAGAATTCATGATCAAAAGATCAAATATAGATTAAGTTCCGCGCATCATATTAATATGATGTCAATAAACTTAAGTCACATGATGAACAATCCAAGGTCCTATCACGTGCTATATAACCACGTGTCACGGGATATACTAACCCTAACACCCCAGTCCATGCAGAACCCAAAGATCCTCCGACAAGAAATGCCCAAATCAGCGGCAGAAGTTTACTTCCTGATAGGAAAGTGTCACGTGGAGTCCGGTAACTACCCCTCCGCTTTGGATGCTCTTAACAGTGCTATTAGGATCAACCCCAGTTACTCTGAGGTAAGTCACGTGATTGATAAAGAGCAATAATAACTGGACGCTTCGGGGATTTGAACCATGTTTTTTTCTGACACGTGATAGAGATTTTTCAATCAGCTTCCGGCATCGACCGATCAAATCGCAGAAACATTGTCACGTGTCAAAACAAATATAGTGTACCTCTCACCAGAATCCACATTTATATTAATATACCTCACAATTATGATACATTAAACTTGCACGAATGAACCATCGTTCATTTTAAAGTTCAACTCAAATCAAATTTCATTTTCAGGCTTACTTCCAACGCGGTCTGGTGAGGATATGGGTTAAGTCTCAACGACCTCTACTCGACTTTAACAGAGCTCTTGCTTATAATCCTAACTACTTCCAGGCTTATCTTACCCGGTTATTTATTTAATTATTACCAGGTTATTCAATTACATACTTTCATCCTTTTTCAGATTCTAAAGTTTTACTTTATCAATTGAGAAAATGCATGTTATAATGTATTTTCAAAACATAATAATATACTCTATATTAAGCGCAACGTGGTCAGTATTTGACAAACACCTCTTGCAGAGCTGCCTACTTTGGCATGAAAGGTCGCTACTCCAAAGCAATGTTCAACTGTAACGAGGCACTGAAGATCCAACCTAACAGTGTAAGAGCATACCTGTACAGAGGAGCTCTGAAGTTCGAGATCAAGAACTACGCGCTAGCTGTGGAGGACTTGTCTTCTGCTATCAAATTAGGTGATTAGTCAGTTAATTAATTACATAGTTACATAGTTAACGTATTGGCTATTATCTGGTTAATTTTGGTCGTCATCAGCTCTGCTACACTACTCATTTTAATTAGTGTATTATATAAGAAGAACTGTATCTACAGAAATTTGACTGAAATTATCTATATCACTGAAACTTATTAAAAAACCTTAAAAAAGCCTCATGGAGCACATTCTAAAACCTTCTAGAATATTCTACACAGAATAGCCCACCCCACACAGAGCCCACATAATAGTAATCTCCTTCAGATGCGCTGTGCAGTATAGCGTACTACAACAGGGCGGTATGTTATCAGTACCTTGGTCAGAACAAGGAGGCGCTGTGTAACTACGGTATTGTCTTGCTACTGGAGAAGGAGCTCAATCAGAGGGTATGTGGAGTATATTGTATATTTGTATATTGATAAATGGGGGAGAGGGTTAGTGGGACTGGGGGGAGGGAGGAAGGGGGTGTGTCGAATTTTTTTTAGTTGGATGCAGTTTTAGTAATTTATGTTACCTTTCTATTTTCACCAGCTACAGTAACGTCTCAGTTTTTGTAGTTTTTTATGCAATTGTTCAACTTGGCCACAACTACAGGAGACGTGGGGAGGCGACACACCCCCACTAAGTACTACTAAACCTAACACTAAACCACCATCTCTAGGTGCTACTAAACCTAACACTAACCCACCATCTCTAGGTGCTACTAAACCTAACACTAACCCACCATCTCTAGGTGCTACTAAACCTAACACTAACCCACCATCTCTAGGTGCTACTAAACCTAACACTAACCCACCATCTCTAGGTGCTACTAAACCTAGCACTAACCCACCATCTCTAGGTGCTACTAAACCTAACACTAACCCACCATCTCTAGGTGCTACTAAACCTAACACTAACCCACCATCTCTAGGTGCTACTAAACCTAACACTAACCCACCATCTCTAGGTGCTACTAAACCTAACACTAACCCACCATCTCTAGGTGCTACTAAACCTAACACTAACCCACCATCTCTAGGTGCTTCTAAACCTAACACTAACCCACCATCTCTAGGTGCTACTAAACCTAACACTAACCCACCATCTCTAGGTGCTACTTAACCGGGGGTTGCTCTACTACCAGTCTGAAGACTACGACAACGCACTGGTGGACTTCAAACTAGCAGTAACAGACTCTCCTGACAACGCGTTACTTTACCACACACTTGGACTTTGTTACCATAGAAACAATCAGCTTAAGGAGGCTCTCAAATCACTGTCACATGCTATGACTCTTAAAGTTAGTGGAAGTTCTGTAAGAATAGTTTTAATGTAACTATAGTGTTACTATTAGAGTTACTGTTACCATAGAAACAACCAGCTCAGGTTATTGTTGCTGTTACACAAGTGTCAACTACCATGATCGGTTTGGAGCGTGGTTATTTGCAATTGAGTGTGTAATTAACGGCAGTTAAAGTCTACTCAAATATTCATACATCTACATATTTTCAATTTTAAACCTCGCTAAACCTCACCAAGTCACCATCAAGTTATACCCCACAACATTAAACCTCGCTAAACCTCACAGTAAACTAATACCCCTCAACATTAAACCTCACAACCAAGTAATACCCCTCAACATTAAACCTCACAACCAAGTAATACCCCTCAACATTAAACCTCACAACCAAGTAATACCCCTCAACATTAAACCTCGCAACCAAGTAATACCCCTCAACATTAAACCTCGCAACCAAGTAATACCCCTCAACATTAAACCTCGCTAAACCTCACAACCTAGCCCGTTCAGGATCACTTCATCCACGCGTACATCTCACGTGGCAACGTGTACATGTCCCTGAACACGGAGCAAGGGTCTAAGTTGAGCAAGAGGGATTACTGCAGAGCTCTGTTGTACGATCCTACGAACCTTACTGCTCATGTTAACTTGGGGATTGCTCTTCAGAGTTACGGTTAGTTAGTCTTGTCTGTGTTAAACCTCATTTAGTTATATTTATTAATGTTAAATCTGGTTAAACCTTGCAACCTTAGAATGCTTTTTTGTGGGTGTATCTGACATCACATAGTCATATTTTACTCACGTGCAACTATGAGTTGACCTGGTCTCTGTGGTAAAATCGTTATACCAGTTTTACATTATATTATCGTTCATCTGCGTTTAAATCGAATACATCCCCAGGTAAAATGAACGAGGGCTGGAAACAGTTCACCTCAGCGATAAAGATAGACCCTAACTGCCATCTAGCGCTAGAAGCTCGCAGTATTGTTAACCTTCAGATGGGTCACCTGTTTGGGGCGTTCTGTGATATCAACAGTGCTGTGAACCTTCATCCTACCCCAACCATGCTCACTAACCGAGGTTAGTCACATTGTAACTGTAACATTGTAACAGTTACTGTAAAATAGCGCATCCTACCCCAACCATGCTCACTAACCGAGGTTAGTGGCTAACTATAGGGAGGCGTGTCAAGTTTTAGTTCTACATTTATTGGGTTTTCTTGTTGCGACAACACAATCAGTGATAGATAATGTTCACTTGGGCACATTCCCCCTTCTGAAACTACAATATTGTAACACACACTTCCTAGGGGTAATACAACAATATATGAACGACTCGGCTAACGCTATGAACGATTTCCAGCAAGCAATCGAAGCAGACCCCACTTACTCTCTCGCTTACTTCAACGCAGCGAACCTTTACTTCAACATGAGGCTGTTTGAGAAGGCCCTGAAGTATTATGATGCTGCTGTTAAGAACAGTGTCAATGATGAGGGGGCTGTCCTCAACAGGTAGTTTCTCACGATCTGCTGAAAATTAACAGATTGTGTAACATGCATGTTACATCCGCTTAATTGATTAGATTGTCTCCATCATGTCTTTCTTTTTTACTAAAAAGCTTGTGCTACTCAGAATATCACAATTTATTGTATCCCACATTCTATACCATTTGATGTATGGCATTTCGTTGTTGTATAATTAATTAATTATTCGATCAGTTAATTGATTAATTGGTTGAGTAATAGTTGTATTCCAGGGCTATAGCCAAAGCTCTACTAAAGGACTACAAAGGAGCATTGATAGATTTCGACACAGCTATATCATTAAACCCGTTCGCTGCTCACTCCTATTTCAACAGAGGAAATCTATATCTTGCTATGGGTATGTACACGGCTGTAAGGGGTTTATCATAGTGTAAATCATTGAAACGATTCGTACTCCGTTATCGAAAGTAAAATTATGTTCTTTTTTGTATTTTGTTTCAACCCTAAGAAATATACCTGCATTCTGTATTTATACATCGATTAGTTTGATAAATCTAGCAATATCTCAGGCGAGAACGCGGCAGCAGAAGATGACTACAGAAAAGCTCTATCTCTATCACCTAAAGACAGCTCTTCCTATAATCAACTTGCAGTTGCCCTCGGGAGGCAGTTCAAGAAGGTGGAAGCTTTGGATAACTATAAACAAGCGATTAAACTGAATGAGCGATGAATATTAGACAGTTTTAATGAACTTTTGGCATTGATTTATTTTCTTAAAGAGTCAGATGTACATACAATGTTTTAGAGCAAATTATGTTGAAAACTGAGGTTTCACTCAATTCTTCAATTAAAATTCCACTATTCAAAATACTAATCATACTTTTTGGTCGCATTGTTTTGCTGCGCGCGTCATGATGTTGTGACGCGCGAAGTAAGTTCTGTTATGAAACATTTTTTTCATCATTTGAAAATTTGAGTTTCTATGGTAACAAGCACGTGCCCGGCTGACATATTCCAATTATATCCAAGAATATAATTTCTTAATCCTGGATGTATATAATATGATGTATCGTCTAAGTGGTGACGAAAAAGGTTGATTCATGTTGTGTTCTACGATTAACGATTCTTCTGCAGTGGTTTAGGTTCAACATTTACATTAACGTAATATTATGATTGTTCGCAACTTTCGTTATACAGATTCGTCCTTTCATGCGATAAAAAAGTTCGATTATAGAAAACTCAAGATGTTGTTAGCATGAACGAATAAAATTGGACAGATTTAAAAATGGACGCTGTTGATCTGAATTTTAAATTTGTCAAGACGTCTGGGGTCTGCCCTAAATTCTTGTGACCTAAAAGACAGTTAAAATGGATGAGGCCCAATTTAGAACTGGAAGTTAGATTCCAGAGGTAGACAGCACGGCCACAGAAGGAGAAATCATATTTTCCGATTCTTGTCCTATTTTTAAATATTAAAGGTGAAATTTCCTGGCTCGAAATATCACAGTTTTTACTACATTTTTGTTCATTGAAAAATATTTTTATTAGATTTAATGAGGGATAGAAAGTTAGAAATAAAACATCAAATTAGAGATTGTGATATAAATCACTAAAATTTAAGTTAATACTGGTAGGAATTAATATATTCACGTATCATACAATAACTTCAGAGTTCATTTTAGATTGTCGATATGACAACAAATTTTTTTCCCTGCTCTTGCCGAAGGCAAAAAGATCGTAGGGAATAAGTAATCGGGTTTGGATATATGAGGTGGCCCGACGGTCCTACGGTGATGACAAAAGTCTGCTCCTTCGCAATATAGACCACTCCCCTATAATTATGTGTATAAAAGGAGTCTATTTTGCGCGCGCGACGCCAGTTATGTGTTAATTAATTACAGCCATAGCAACAAAATTTTGGTTCTTGACGACTGTTACACAGGTTTCCATCGGGTTACAATTCACTCTAATTCATTAATATAGCGTATTAGTCGTCTGAGCGGATCAATCATCAACATAAGTGTTATTTTGGTGAAACAAGCTTAATATATTACCGAGTGATAATATTCAGCAAGTCAAAACAAATTAAATTATGATATCAGCTGATAAAATCGTGGCTGATTATTTAACAGTTGATTGACACTTAATGGTAAAAAGCGAAAACATATAGTTGAGAAAAGATGTTACTTTACATTTACATTCAAGAAGCAACTAAGATCAAGATTGTGGTATGCTTTTAAAGAATCCTATATCAAATCAAAGGCTCGATAATCGATGGTGCTGTAGATGTGTCGAGTATTCGAGTAAGCATACAAATGTATTAGTTTATGTTAGATAATAACTAAGATGATACAGACTATTTTATAACAGTCATTAAAGTTGGCATACGATGCAATAATATGACGTGACATGATTGATGATACGCATCGTTAACACGTAACAAAATTGCGCAAAATATGAAATGATCTACAACCAAACCACATACAGATCGACGGCGACACCTCAGATGCGCGCAGAATTTTTCAAGTTCTGCACGCCTAATATAATATAAACGATTATCACGTGCGCAAAACACCACTCTGGGATAACAATAAAGTAGAACAATTAAATTGTAGGCAGTAGGGAAATTTGATCGTGCGTGGTGTTACCGCGGCGAAATTCTTGTTAAACAATAAATTCACTTATATACAATTTAAGTATGCTTTTGATAATGCATGAGGCAAGATAAAAGGTACAATTTTAAATCTAATTCATTGATTTGGCATGGTTCATCTAAACAGACTAATAAAACAGCTGTGAGCCAAACCGAAGCTAAGTACCATGATTACCAAATAGTGATCAAAGTTACAGCATCCTTTATTGCAATAATTGTAAAACGGTTTTTTAATTTTTAAATTGAGGTGAACTGAGAAGAAATGAAAGTAATTTCCTAGCGTCTTTAAAATCATTGTCTATCAACAATTACTGCATACTACTTCTTAGATACTGTAGATAGTATCAAATGTTTCAAATTATACTTGGTATCAACAACCAAATTTGACTGATTAAAATTAAAATTGATCATTTTAACTGATATGAGTCCAGTGTGCTTCCAGTTTATTTGCAATTTATGTCCATAACTTAAAGGTATCCGTATAATTATCTCCGTTGTTGAAGTATATCGTGATCAGTATTGGAAGGTCGGGATGTTTTCGCTTTGTCTCGTTCTCAAGGGTAAACATCGTCCAAAAAGATCAGCGTCAGTATACAGCTGCCATTCTCGTGACGCGTCAGCATAGTTAAGCGCATTTTCTCTCCGGTATAGCACCTGATTTGAAAATAAGTTACAAAAGTCGACCGACACATTGCAATTTAAGATAGGTACTGAATCTGCTTCATTTGACATTGGAAAATGAAACAATATTTAATAATAAAGTGTGGTATTAGGAACTTACATAATCTTGGTAGCAAGGCTTTATGATAATTCTCCGCAGTGATCGATCTGATCGTCATCCAGATCTTTTATCAGCTCGATTACCTTGTCAGTAATCGTCATCCCAAACAGTCGATCTGAATAAGAGGAAAAGTTAGAACTTGCGTTTACAAACAGTACCGTCGATCTGGTATCAATTCGTTTAAAATATGTTGATATTTTGATCGAGTTAATTAAATTGCAAGAATTTTATGGTATCGAACACGGAACATACATATGTCGTATCGTGTGCTTGTAAATTGTATTTACTAATTGTGCTCTAATTGTGCTACTAATTGTAGCTTTGTACTCGTAAACTGTAGTAATAAAGTTTTATCAAACGAAATGGACAAATATGTATGTTGCTGGTTAATTAGTATCAAGCATGCAAAATAAATTTCCTTAATAAGAATTTCATTTCAATTGCAACAAAATATGAAAAAACGTTGACTAATTTATGTGAATATTAATTGCATCTTACTGCTAATTGAATCCCATGTCGAGGTGAGTTGTTGGTAGAGAGTGCGAGTGAAGGTTTTATTATAGTACTCGGGCGAATAAAACATATCCCACTTAGTCAAATTCCCTTTCTTCAGCGCACATTTAGACTCCGTGAGATTTCTAAGTTCCAACTTTGTTTCTTGAAGGTCGCTCCTCGTTTCATTCAACTCCCCCTCTGTTGCTCCAAGCTGCCTCCTGACCCCAACTAACTCCTCCTGGGTAGAGTTGAAGCGTTCTTGTACCCCAACTAGTTCCTCCTGGGTAGAGTTGAAGCGTTCTTGTACCCCAACTAGTTCCTCCTGGGTAGAGTTGAAGCGTTCTTGAATTTCCAATAGATCTGCCCTCGTCTTGTTTAAGGATAGTTCCAGAGAACTTTTATCTGTCACGGCCAATTCCAGCTTTTTCCCTAGTTGAACGAATGCAGGACATCTAGTGTCCATATCCAAGACAGTACCAGTTCGGCTTAGTTTGAGAATATCTTCCCACTTTATTATCCGGTACTCCTCCAACTGCTCAGGAATCCCTGCACAAAATCCAGCTGAAGACAGGGCAGCTACTTCTGTAGCCGTCAGTTCTTTAGAGTACATATTAAAGTTAAAAAGCATGCCTCCGAAAGGGTGCCCGTCTCGTGGTGCATAATTCCCCAAAGTTAAGGCTCCGCCTGTCTGCAGCCTTCTCCCGGAGGGTGTTGTCTGGGTCCCTACTTGTTGCCCGTTCACGTACACTCGGAAGGTTTTAGAAGCAAGGCTCCAGGTTGATCAGTACAGATACCAATTATTGTCAGTAGGGAACTTGCTGGCCAGATTATTGTTGGTATTGAACAACATGTTGTAGTAGCCATTGTCTGTCGACCCTAGTTCCCAACCTTTATACCCAAAAGGTTGGCATCCATTTCCAGATTGGAATTTGCGGACCCACACACAAACAGAAAACTTTTCTGCCAGTGAGTTAACGTTGGGACTGTAAGATATGTAAGCATTTCTATCATAAGCAAACTTAAGAGCTGTATCGCTCTTGGAGTTGCTGGCTGCGATAGTAAACCCTGGACATGCAACAAATACCAATAAGACAGAGAGGATAAAACGTAACATAGTGACTCGGTTGAAATATCGATCTACCAAATATTACTGGACTGATCTGGAGAGCTAGTCAGATACTTTAAGTAATAGAAAGTTAGGCTTGAGAAGTTCTACAGTTATGAGTTAGGAGTAACGCGTGAAAGTTAGGAGTTGGGAGTAACGCATGGAATTTGCGTGATTTTGGGCACCTCCCTGCGGATTATTCTTCTTGATCAGTTGTATCGTAATAAGTTATAACAGAAGAGGCATAAGATAAGATACTAAGGTCTCCTGTTCCAGCACTGGTCCGTGATCAGGACACATTAAACATATATATTATAAATTATTAAAGTCTATAGATTGCATGCAGTAATTTTATATAACCTGCGCATGATTATGAAAGTATTAAGAAGAGAATTTGAATATTTCTAACTAGTGATGTAAAACTTTATCAACCTTAGCTTCGTGTCCAGTAGAAGTTAGATTGTAGTACAAACATTATGAAATATAGTTCCATTATTAAATTTATCCTGGTGTTAATTTGGTTGACAGATTTTAAATTTACGCTGATCAGTCTACAATTTTAAATGGATGTCTGTCTAATGACCAACAAGTCAGTTAAATATGTATGGCATTATAAGATACACAATTATACTAAACGTTTGCTTCCGGCCAGAGAATGCATCGCAAAAAAAGGATAAGGCAAAATGGAAAATTGATAATGTCAAATTTCAAAATATGAAGACTGTTTCCTGAACCGAAATTTCACAAATCTGACGGGACTAATTTTGTCCTGAGAGCAATTAGTCGGTTAACTATAAATGATATTAGACCCAATTGTGGTACTGGAAGCTAAATTCCGGACAGAGACAAGATGAAATTTCCTGGACCGAAATATCACAGTTTTTACTAAATTTTTGTTTGGTGAACAATTTGTTTATTAAGTATAACTAAGAACGCAGAAAGTTAGAAATGAAACATCAAATTAGAGATTGTGATTTAAATCATTAAGATTTAAGTTAATACCGGTAAGAATTAATACATTCACGTACCATACAATAACTTCAGAGTTCATATTAGATTGTCGATATGACAACAAAGTTTAAAACAATAAATTTACTTATAAATAATTTAAGTATGCTTTTGATAATGGATGAGACATGGCAAAAGGTAAACTTTTAATTCTTATTCTTTGTTGTAGTAATTAAATAAATGCAATATAAAACTGTTTTTTATTCAGAAAACTGAGGCGAACCGAGAACAAATGAACGTATAATTTCCTCCCGTCCTTTATATCATGATCATTGTCTATCAAAAATTACTACATACTACTTCTTAGATACTCATACTGTAGATAGTATCAAATGTTTCAAATTATACTTGGTATCAACAACCAAGTTTTACTGTTTAAAATTAAGATTGATCATTTTAACTGAGTCCAGTGTGCTTCCAATTTATTTGCAATTCATGTCCATAACTTAAAGGTATCCGTATAACTGTCTCCGTTGTTGAAGTAGGTTGTGATCAGTATTGGAAGGTCAGGATGTTTACGCTTCGTCTCGTTCTCAAGGGTAAACATCGTCCAAAAAGATCAGCGTCAGTATACAGCTGTCATTCATGTGACCGTCGGCATAGTTTAACGCATCTTCTCTTCAGTAGCACCTGATTTGAAAATATGTTACAAAAGTCGAACGACATATTTCAATTTAAGATAGCTACTGAATCTGCTTGATTTGACATTTGAAAATGAAACAATATTTAATAAGTAAGTGTGGTAAGTAACTTACATAATCTTGGTAGCAAGGCTTTATGATAGTTCTCCACAGTGGTCGATCTGATCATCATCCAGATCTTTTATCAGCTCGATTACCTTGTCAGTAATCGTCATCCCAAACAGTCGATCTGAATGAGAGGATAAGTTAGAACACGCGTTTACAAACAGTACTGTCTGATATCAATTCGTTTAAAATATGTTGATATTTTGATCGAGTTAATGAAATTGCAAGAATTTTATGGTATCGAACATACATAAGTCGTATCGTGTGCTTTTATATTTTAATTACTAATTGTACTCTAATTCATGTACTCGTAAACTGTAATAATAAAGTTTTATCAAACGAAATGGACAAATATGTATGTTACTGGTTTATTAGTATCAAGCATGCAAAATAAATTTCCTTAATAAGAATTTCATTTCAATTGCAACAAAATATTAAAAAATGTTAACTAATTTATGTAAATATTAATTGCGTCTTACTGCTAATTGAATCCCATGTCGAAGTGAGTTGTTGGTAGAGAGTGCGAGTGAAGGTTTTATTATAGTACTCTGGCGAATAAAACATATCCCACTTTGTCAAATTCCCTTTCTTTAGCGCACATTTAGACTCCGTAAGATTCCTCAGTTCCATCTTTGTTTCTTGAAGGTCGCTCCTTGTTTCATTCAACTCCCCCTCTGTTGCTCCAAGCTCCCTCCTGACCCCAACTAACTCCTCCTGGGTAGAGTTGAAGCGTTCTTGTACCCCAACTAGTTCCTCCTGGGTAGAGTTGAAGCGTTCTTGTACCCCAACTAGTTCCTCCTGGGTAGAGTTGAAGCGTCCTTGAACTGTGAGTAGATCTGTCCTCGTTTCGTTTAAGGATAGTTCCAGAGAACTTTTTTCTGTCACGGCCAATTCCAGATTTTTCCTAAGTTCAACGAATGCAGCACATCTAGTATCCATATCCAACACAGCACCAGATCTGCTTAGTTTGAGAATATCTTCCCACTTTATTATCCGGTACTCCTCCAACTGCTCAGGAATCTCTGCACAAAATCCAGCTGAAGACAGGGCAGCTACTTCTGTAGCCGTCAGTTCTTTAGAGTACATATTAAAATTAAAAAGCATGCCTCCGAAAGGGTGCGAGTTGCCTGGTGCATAATTCCCCAAAGTTAATGCTCCGCCTGTCTGCAGCCTTCTCCCGGAGGGTGTTGTCTGGGTCCCTATTTGTTGCCCGTTCACGTACACTCGGAAGGTTCTAGAAGCTAGGCTCCAGGTTGAGCAGTACAGATACCAAGTATTGTCAGTGGGGAACTTGCTGGCCAGATTAATTCTGGAACTGAACAGCATGTTGTAGTAGCCACTGTCTCCCAACGCTATGTCCCAACCATTATACGCAAACGCTACAGGATTATTTCCAGACTGGAACTTGTGGACCCACACACAAACAGAAAACTTTTCTGTCAGTGAGTTAACGTCGGGACTGTAAGATATGTAACTATTTCTATCATAAGCAAACTTAAGAGCTGTATTGCTCTTGGAGTCGCTGGCTGCGATAGTAAACACTGGACAGGCAACAAATACCGATAATACAGAGAGGATAAAACGTAACATAGTGACTCAGTTGAGATATCGATCTAATAAATATTACTGGACTGATATGGACACTATCTTGTCAGATCTTTTAAGTAATAGAGGGTCAGGCTAAGGAAGTTAGGTGTTGAGAATAACGCGTGAAAGTTAGGAGTTGGGAGTAACGCGTGGACGTTGCGTGATTTCGGGCACCTCCCAGATTATTCTTCTTGATCAGCTGTATCGTAATAAGTTCTCACAGTAGAGACATAACTATAAGATATGATACTAAGGTCTCCTGTTCCAGCACTGGTCCGTGATCCGGACACGTTAAACATATATTTTATAAGATGTAGTCTATAGATTGAATATACTGTTTAGTATTAACAACAAAATGTTACATTTGTGAGACGTCTAAACTCATAATTTGTTACTTTATGAAGGAGTGCCATGATCATGAATCTGTCAGAGTCGATGACAATCAAGGAATATTTTGCAATATAGATATTTTTAATATTGCTCGAAGCTTACAACAATTTTATATAACATGCGCTTGACTATTTAGAATTTGCGCATGACTATTAAGGATTTGCGCACGATTAAATTATCTCTAAAACGATGACAGCAACGAAATCTTTGATATTAATTATAATCATTGACAACTAATTGCTGTACTGCATCAGTATGAACTACGACCATCTAAATTATGATATATGATTTCGAGCTTCAAATTTAAAATAACATACAAAAGACTAAAGTAAAAAGTAGATCTACTAAGTCGGCGGCAATAACAAATAATATTCTCGTTAGCTCAAATTACCACGTAACATACTTCCCTCTTGATCAGAAATCGTGATCACAAAATTTACCTTCTTAAAATAAACTCCGTTTTAACAAGGGTGATATTAGCTGTAGCCCTCGATATGCACTTAAGGAGAAGTTGTGGTATTTGTTTGTTAGTTTGTTAGACTTGCAGCAAATCTCATAATTAATCGTACTTGTACTTGCACACTCCCCCATAATCACCACACGCCAGTAAAGATGGTAACACAGCAGTATTGTTAATAATTGTGGGGTTGAGAAAAATGAAATATTCCCCCAAGTCAGCACTTAGCCTGGGGACCACTACTAACTTCTATTGCTGTGGTACCTGTTAGCCAGTTTGCTGTAACGAACTTGTAGACAGTCAGTTTGTGATTTGTTGCAGGAAACCACATAGTTATCTCAGCTGGAAGTTAACCTGTACCTTAATATTATCAGGAATACATATTTGTGGGTATCTGCCCTGTCTGTACTTTAGTGCATCTTAACTCTCTGTTAGAGCACCACGCTTATGTTATAGTCTTATCTTTCTTCATAGAAGACTTTTTAAGTCATCAGAAATCCTATAGATTCATACCGGCCATCTCAAGGCTTAGTCAAATCGAGCTACAGTACTCAGCAGTCAGCAATCAGAGCTAGAATATAACAGTCCACTCAAATTAAAGACGAGCTTGGGGAAATTATTTTACTGAAGGATGTTGGCTATTCTGCGCAAAAATGGGCGTTTATATCAAAAACAAGTATATTTAAAGTCACTATTGTGACGGTACATTAGAATTAGACAGAAACAAAGTGTGAAGGGCCTGAATGGGACCCCTCGGTTTCAGTTCCTTGTTTAACACTGCTGCACAGCAAGGACATCCACCGGGTTCTCCAAGGATGGGCACATAGCTCACTCCACACTATGGCTCTGTCAAATGTTGCTTATATACCAAGGATCTACAGGAAATATTTCCTTGTAAGTTTAGAGGGCGATCTGTGAACAGACAACTACCTCATTCCCAACTATAGGAGCTAGAATTCCTATACTATCCCAACGAGCTACACCATATGTTACAAGGTTTTGGAAACCAAATGAACTATCATAAAGCCTTGCTACCAAGTACCAAGTAAAGTACTTATTAAAGGATGATAAACAAATAATTTCTATGGTATTGTAGTGTAACTGTGCAATTGTTCTCATTAAATTAAACCAACATTAACACCACTCCATCAAATATAATCACCTCAACACCCCATCACCCCTAGCTGAAAACGGTTAACACATTTTTAAAAGCAATTCTGTCATCTTAAATTATAAGTATCGTATCATTTGTATGTTTCAAAACTCCAATGCAGACTCCAATATTTCTTTATTTTCAGAAGTCAAATCAATCAGATTCTTGCAAATTAATCTGAGTAGTAATCTGAAATTGAGAAGTGCACTCGTCCGCGTCCGATTTTCCAACCTTATCTTAAAATCAGGTGCTACCGAAGAGAAGATGTTCTATGCTGACGGTCACAAGAATGACAGGACTGATATTTTTGAACAATGCTCATCCTTGAGAGCTTATTGTGCTCAGCGAGAAAAGTGAAATATTGCCCCAAGTCAGCACTTAGCCTGGGGAACTACTACTAACTTCTATTGCTGTGGTACATGGTAGCCAGCACGCTGTAACGAACTTGTAGACAGTCAGTTTGTGATTTGTTGCAGGAAACCACATGGTTATCTGAGTTGGAACTTAACCTGTACCTTAATATTATCAGGAATACATATTTGTGGGTATCTATCCTGTCTGTACTTTAGTGCATCTTAACTCTCTGTTAGAGCACCACGCTTATGCTATAGTCTTATCTTTCTTCATAGAAGAATTTTTAAGTCATCAGAAATCCTATAGTAGTATAGATTCATACCGGCCATCTCAAATCAAGCTGCAGCAGTCAGCAATCAGAGCTAGAATATAACAGTCCACTCAAATTAAGGCCAAGCTTGGGGAAATTATTTTACTGAAGGATGTTGGCTATTTTAAGAAAAAATGAGTGTTTATATTAAAAACAAGTATATGTATTTATATTACAATGTTTTGGAAAACAGATGAACTATCATAAAGCCTTGCTACCAAGTACCAAGTAAAGTACTTATTAAAAAATGATAAACAAATAATTTCTACGGTATTGTAAAGTAACTGTGTAAATTTTTCTCTTTAAATTAAATCAACATTGACACCAACAAAACAACAACAAACATAATCACACCAAATATAATCACTTCAACACCCCATCATCCCTAGCTGAAGACGGTTAACACATTTTTAAAGCAATTCTGCCATCTTAAAATATAAGTATCGTATCATTTGTATGTTTCAAAACTCCAATGCAGACTTATTTAATATTTCTTTATTGTCAGAAGTCAAATCAATCAGATTCTTGCAAATTAATCTGTGTAGTTGTCTGAAATTGAGAAGTGCACTCGTTCAACTTTCCTAACTCATCTTAAAATCAGGTGATACCAAAGAGAAGATGTGCTATGCTGACGGTCAAAATAATGACAGGGCTGATATTTTTGGACAATGCTCATCCTTGAGAGCTAATTGTGCTCCACTTGTGGGGACCACTAATAACTTCTATTGCTGTGGTACCTGTTAGCCAGTACGCTGTAACGAACTTGTAGACAGTCAGTTAGTGATTTGTTGCAGGAAACCACATGGTTATCCTGTTAACCTGTACCTTAATATTATCAGGAATACATATTTGTGGGTATCTGCACTGTCTGTACTTTAGTGCATCCTATAACTCTCTGTTAGAGCACCACGCTTATGTTATAGTCTTATCTTTCTTCATAGAAGAATTTTTAAGTCATCAGAAATCCTATAGATTCATTCCGGTCATAATTATTGTTGTATTAAAATTTATTATGACAATGATCACATTAACCAGTCCCAATGCCATTTCAAGGCCCATAAGTTGGACTTATAATTGCTCAGTCACTGAGTGCCCAATTGAAATAATTCTTTCTGGTATGACTTACTACCACCACTGGTTCGAGGAATTTATCAATCTATCCTGTCAATTTGGTTGACAGATATTAAAATGTACGCTGGTCATCCATATGTTCTATTTTTGAAATGTTTGATATTTTGGCATTCAAAATTTTGACTGGATGTCTATCCAATGACCAAAGCAGAAAGTTAGAAATGAAACATCAAATTAGAGATTGTGATTTAAATCACTAAAATTTAAGTTAATACCGGTAAGAATTGATATATTCACGTACCAAACAATAACTTCAGAGTTCATATTAGATTGTCGATACAATTACAACAAATTTACAATAAATTCACTTATACATAATTTAAGTATGCTTTTAATAATGTATGAGGCAAGGTTAAAGGTAACATTTTAAATCTAATTCATTGATTTGGTATGTTTCATCTTAACAGACTAATTAAACAGCCATGAGCCAAACCAAAGTTCTGCCATGATTACCAAATTATGGTGATCAAAGATACAGCATCTTCCGCTGCAATAATGCAATATAAAACGATTTTTTGATTCAGAAAATGGAGGTGAACTGAGTACAAATGAACGTAATTTCCTCACGTCCTTTAAATCATCGTCTATCAACGAATACTACATACATACTACTTCTTAGATACTCATACTGTAGATAGTATAAAATGTTTCAAATTATACTTGGTATCAACAACCAAGTTTTACTGTTTAAAATTAAGATTGATAATTTTAAGTGAGTCCAGTGTGCTTCCAGTCTATTTGCAATTCATGTCCATAACTTAAAGGTATCCGTATAATTATCTCCGTTGTTGAAGTATATCGTGATCAGTATTGGAAGGTCGGGATGTTTTCGCTTCGTCTCGTTCTCAATTAGGGTAGGTTCTCAACGTTCTCAAGGGTAAACATCGTCCAAAAAGATCAGCGTCAGTATACAGCTATCATTCTTATGACCGTCAGCATAGTTTAGCGCATTTTCTCTCCGGTAACACCTGATTTGAAATTATGTTACAAAAGTCGAACGACACATTTCAATTTAAGCATTAAGATAACTATTGAATCTGCTTGCTTTGACATTGGAAAATGAAACAATATTTAATGATTAAGTGTGGTAAGTAACTTACATAATTTTGGTAGCAAGGCTTTATGATAGTTCTCCGCAGTGATCGATCTGATCGTCATCCAGATCTTTTATCAGCTCGATTACCTTGTCAGTAATCCTCATCCCAAACAGTCGACCTGAATGAGCTGAGAAGTTAGAACTCCCGTTTACAAACGATCTGGTATCAATTCGTTTAAAATATGTTGATATTTTGATCGAATTAAATAAATTGCAAGAATTTTATGGTATCGAACATACATATGTCGTATCGAGTGGTTGTAAATTTTGATTACTATTATTGTGCTCTAGTTGTGCTACTAATTGAACTCGTAAACTGTAATAATAAAGTTTTATCAAACGAAATGGACAAATATGTATGTTACTGGTTTAAATTATTATCAAGCATGCAAAATAATTTTCCTTAAAAAGAATTTCATTTCAATTGCGAAACAATATGATAAAAACGTTGACTAGTTTAAGTGAATATAAATTGCATCTTGCTGCTAATTGAATCCCATGTTGAGGTGAGTTGTTGGTAGAGAGTGCGAGTGAAGGTTTTATTATAGTACTCGGGCGAATAAAACATATCCCACTTTGTCAAATTCCCTTTCTTTAGCGCACATTTAGACTCCGTGAGATTCCTCAGTTCCATCGTTGTTTCTTGAAGGTCGGTCCTCGTTTCATTCAACTCCCCTTTTGTTGCTACTAGCTCCTCCTGGGTAGAGTTGAAGCTTTCTTGAACTTTCAGTAGATCTGTCCTCGTTTTGTTTAAGGATAGTTCCAGAGAACTTTTTTCTGTCACGGCCAATTCCAGCTTTTTCCGAGTTATCGGTAGTTCAACAAATGCAGCACATCTGGTGTCATCGTCCAACACAGTACCAGATCTGCTCAGTTTGAGAATATCTTCCCACTTTATTACCCGGTACTCCTCTAAGTGCTCAGGAATCTCTGCACAAAATCCAGCTGAATACAGGGCAGCTACTTCTGTAGCCGTCAGTTCTTTAGAGTACATATTTAAGTTAAAAAGCATGCCGCCGAAATGGTGCGCGCTGTTTCCTGGTGAATAATTCCCCAAGCGTAATGTTCCACCTGTCTGCAGCCTTCTCCCGGAGGGTGTTGTCTGGGTCCCTACTTGTTGCCCGTTCACGTACACGCGGAAAGTTCTAGAAGCAAGGCTCCAGGTTGAGCAGTACAGATACCAAGTATTGTCAGTGGGGAACTTGCTGGCCAGATTATTGTGGGAACTGAACAGCCAGTTGTAGTAGCCACTGTCTCCCAACGCTAGTTCCCAACCGTTATACGCGAACACTAATGGAGTATTCCCAGATTGGACCTTACGCACCCACACACAAACAGAAAACTTTTCTGTCAGTGAGTTAACGTTGGGACTGTAAGATATGTAAGCATTTCTATCATAAGCAAACTTAAGAGCTGTATCGCTCTTGGTGTCGCTGGCTGCGATAGTAAACCCTGGACAGGCAACAGATACCAATACGACAGAGAGGATAAAACGTAACATAGTGACTCGGTTGAGATATCGATCTAATAAATATTACTGGACTGGTCTGGATAGCTAGTCAGATACTAAGCTTTTAAATAATAGAGGGTCAGGCTAAGGAAGTTAGAGTTGGGAGTAACGCGTAAAAGTTAGGAGTTGGGAGTAACGCGTGGACGTTGCGTGATTTCGGGCACCTTCCAGATTATTCTTCGTGACCAGTTGTATTGCAATAGTTTAACAGTAAAGTTAGAGGATAAGATACTAGGGTCTCCTGTTCCGGTACTGGTCCGTGATCAGGACACGTTAAACATCTATATAATAAAATATTAAAGTCTATAAATTGCATGAAGTAATTTTATATAACCTGCGCATGATTATGAAAGTATTCAGAAGAGAATTTGAATATTTCTAACTAGTGATTTTAAAACTTTATCAACCTTAACTTCGTGTCCAGTAGAAGCAGGTAATTAGTACAAACGTTTAGAAATACTAATTAAATACTATTAAAACTCCATTTGAATTAATTTGAGATTCTGGTGTTAATTTGATTGACAGATTTCGAAATTTACGGTAGTCATCCAAATGTTAAATTTGTAAAATGTTTGTTATTTTGACATTCACAATTTTGACTTAATGTCCGTCCAATGACCAATATTTTAGTCAAATATGTATAGCATTATACGGCCCAATTATACTAAAAGTTTGATTCCGGCCAAAGAATGCATTGCAAAAAAAGCATAATGCAAAATTGAAAATTGATATTGTCAAATTTTCAACTAGAATGTTTCCTGAGCCAAAATTTTGCAGATTTGACGGGACTTTTGTCCTGAGAGCAATTAGTCAGTTCACTACAAGTAAAGTGACATGAGACCCAATTGTGGTACTGGGAGTTAGATTCCGGACAAAAGAGACAGAACCACAACTGGAAAAATTATACTGTCCGATGTTTGTCCCATTTTCAAAAATCAAAGATGAAAATTCCTAGACTGAAATATCACAGTTTTTACTAAATTTTAGTTTGGCAAACAATATGTTTATTAAGTAGAATAGCTAGGAACGTAGAAAGTTAGAAATGAAACATCAAATTAGAAATTGTGATTTAAATCACTAAAATGTAAGTTAATAGATGTGGATACTGGTGGGGAGGTGAAACACATTTGTTTACTTTAATAGTAAGCACATGTTCAGCGGGTTGAGGAGGTGAAACACATTTGTTTACATTTTTAGGGACTAGGGTAAGCACATGTTCAGCGGGTTGAAGAGATGATACACATTTTGTATTATAGAAGGCTTGTAACACTTGTAACGCTTTCTTGTTACCCCCCTTTGAAGGCCCCGAATTATTTTCTGAACGAAAGCTCAAAAATAACCGAGAAATCGACCTTCTTATTAACTCATTTTGATGACTGTTTCTGACCTAAAATTGCACGAAAAATCGATTTAGCTAGGTTTCAGAACCTATAAACACTTCCTTATCCCTCAAAATTGATGTTTTATAGTTGATACGAGCAACAAGCAACATATGTTTTGATCCTTCGGTTCTACTCATGGACGGATCGGTGTCACATGACATAACACCTCTATTACAAGTGGTCGCTCGTTGAGGATGACGGAGCACATCAGGGCTGCCCGTCGTCAGAATAAATTTAATTCAGTTGTTAGTATAATTGTTATATTGTGGTGTTGGTAACCTACCTTCGTTGTGTTTCTTTTGACTTTGTTATGCTCTGGAAATTGTGAAAATTACGCTCGGGAAATTGTGATAGTACCTGCTCTGGAAATTGTGATAGTACCTGTTCGATTTGTTAAGGAGACGATCTCCCTGTTTATATGTTTGTTATATATGGTAATTTATTATGTAACTTATTTATGTATATTATTCCTTAGTCTCGTATGACCATAGTTGGTACTACAATAAGTGGGTTTCACTTCTAAGCTACCGTATACTAAATTGTTACAGGATCAGTATGTTCGTGAGGAACAGTCACCAAAAGTGAGTTGCTTACCTGCTGTGTGTTTTCGTACTCTGGTCTTCACTCAAGTTGCAAAGCTGCAATAAACACGTATCGCAAAGAACATATTTTATATCTGAAAATTGAGTTAGTACCAGTTTGATCAGTTAAGGTGAGGATTGCCTCGATCTGTCGGGTTCAGCTTAACTGCCTAGGTCAAGAGCTGTAGAACCGAAGGATCAAAACATATGTTGCTTGTTGCTCGTATCAACTATAAAACATCAATTTTGAGGGATGAGGAAGTGTTTATAGGTTCTGAAACCTAGCTAAATCAATTTTTCGTGCAATTTTAGGTCAGAAACAGTCATCAAAATGAGTTAATAAGAAGGTCGATTTCTCGGTTATTTTTGAGCTTTCGTTCAGAAAATAATTCGGGGCCTTCAAAGGGGGGTAACAAGAAAGCGTTACAAGTGTTACAAGCCTTCTATAATACAAAATGTGTATCATCTCTTCAACCCGCTGAACATGTGCTTACCCTAAAAATGTAAACAAATGTGTTTCACCTCCTCAACCCGCTGAACATGTGCTTACTATTAAAGTAAACAAATGTGTTTCACCTCCCCACCAGTATCCACATCTATACCGGTAGGAATTAATATATTCACGTATCATACAGTATAACTTTAGAGTTCATATTATATTAAAATATATTACATACATATTATATTCAGATTATATTAAAATATTATATTACATACATACATGTATTATATTCAGATTATATTGAGATATTACTAGATCGTCGATATGACAACAAATTTTTAAACAGTAGATTTATCTATTTATAATTTATGTAATCTTTAATTAAATAATGCATTAGGTAAAAGGTAAAATCTTTAAACCCAATTCATTTCATATGGTATGTTTTATTTTAACAGACTATAAACAGATTTTAACAGACTATTTTTTTTTTAATAATAGAAAAGTCAAAACCAAAATCCTGCCATGATAAAAAATTAATTGCGATCAATAATCAAATTTACTGCATTTATCGTCAGTAATGCAATATTTCTTCAAATTACTAAAACTAGACTTATGAAACGACCTATTGATTCCAGTTCAGAAAAATTGAGGTAAACTAAAAACACCATAACCTATCAAGGGTGAACATTGTCCAAAAATATCAGCCCTGTCATTCTTGTGACCGTCAGCATAGTTTAGCACATCTTCTCTTCGGTAGCACCTGATTTAAAGATAGGTTAAGTTAGAAAATAGTCGAACGACACATTTCATTTACAAATTAGTACAAAAATTAATTTGCTTGATTTAACATGTTTGATAATTAAAATATTTAATAATATAAGTCAATGTGGTTACTACTTAACTTACATTGTCTCAGTAGCAAGGCTTCACGATAGTTCTCCGCAGTGTTCAATCTGATCGTCGTCCAGATCTTTTATCAGCTCGATTACCTTGTCAGTAATCGTCATCCCAAACAGTCGATCTGAATAAGAGAATAAGTTAGAACTCGCTCATAAATAATACTTTCAACACTACTATATAACAAATAATTTGAGATTATGTGACTGATTAAATGCTGAAGATAAAAGAAATATATTCATTTTGCTAAGATTATGTTTGCGTTTCATTGCTCAACAGCTGTTCGAAGGATCAAATTTAAGCTCATAAATAAACGATGATAAATATTTGATTCAGCATATTGGTATAATGATCAATATTGATCATAGAGTTTTTGATATCACAAGAATTTTGTCGTACTGAACGTATCGTGTATAGTATAATAAAAAGTATAATTATAAATGTATAAGTATAATTATAAACTTCTGTAAAACATAATGAACAAATGTGTAATATGTACATGTTATCAAATTCAAACGTATTATAAAATAATTTTCTTTAAAATGATATACATTTCAATTGCGCAAAACAATGATAAAAACGTTGACTAATTTATGTAAATATTAATTGCATCTAGTCTTACTGCTAATTGAATCCCATGTCGAGGTGAGCTGTTGGTAGAGAGTGCGAGTGAAAGTTTTATTATAGTACTAGGGCGAATAAAACATATCCCACTTTGTCAAATTCCCTTTCTTTAGCGCACATTTAGATTCCGTGAGATTCCTCAGTTCCATCTTTGTTTCTTGAAGGTCGCTCCTCGTTTCATTCAACTCCCCTTCTGTTGCTACTAGCTCCTCCTGGGTAGAGTTAAAGCGTTCTTGTACCCCAACTAGTTCCTCCTGGGTAGAGTTGAAGCTTTCTTGAACTTTAAGTAGATCTGTCCTCGTTTTGTTTAAGGATAGTTCCAGAGAACTCTTTTCTGTCACGGCCAATTCCAGCTTTTTCCGAGTTATCGGTAGTTCAACAAATGCGGCACATCTGGTATCTATATCCAACACAATACCAGTTCTGCTCAGTTTGAGAATATCTTCCCACTTTATTCATTATTATCCGGTACTCCTCCAACTGCTCAGGAATCTCTACACAAAATCCACCTGAAGACAGGGCAGCTACTTCTGTAGCCGTCAGTTCTTTAGAGTACATATTAAAGTTAAAAAGCATGCCGCCGAAATGGTGCCCTGAATTTGGTGAATAATTCCCCAAAGTTAATGCTCTGCCTGTCTGCAGCCTTCTCCCGGAGGATGTTGTCTGGGTCCCTACTTGTTGCCCGTTCACGTACACTCGGAAGGTTCTAGAAGCAAGGCTCCAGGTTGAGCAGTACAGATACCAAGTATTGTCACTGGGGAACTTGCTGGCCAGATTAATGTTGGAACTGAACAGCATGTTGTAGTAGCCACTGTCTCCCAACGCTAGTTCCCAGCCGTTATACGCGAACGCTATAGGATGACTTCCATGAGGGTGGAACTTGCGGACCCACACACAAACAGAAAACTTTTCTGTCAATGAGTTAATGTTGGGACTGTAAGATATTAAACTATTTCCATCGTAAGCAAACTTAAGAGCTTTATCGCTCTTGGTGTCACTGGCTGCTATAGTAAACCCTGGACATGCAACAAATACCGATAAGACAGAGAGGATAAAACGTAACATAGTGACTCGGTTGAGATATCTAACTAATAAATATTACTGGACTGATCTGGACAGCTAGTCAGATACTTTATAGTAATGGAGGGTCAGTCTTAGAAAGTTTGGAGTTAGGAGTAACGCTTGGCAGTTGCGTGATTTCGGGCACCACCCAGATTATTCGGACCTTTACTGATAGTTGAAATTCGACATATGACGTCATCTAGCGTCATCTAGCGTCATCTAGCGTGAAATATCGCCAGATGATGATAGATGACGCTAGATGACGCTAGATGACGCTAGATGACGCCAATTAGCGACATTGTCGCTAAGTGCACGGCACCTTTCGAATGTCGCTATCTAGCGCTATCTAGCGCTATCTAGCGCTATCTAGCGCTATATGACGCTATATGACGCTATATATATATGACGCTATATGACGCTATATATATATGACGCTAGATGACGCTAGATGACGCTAGATGACGCTAAGCACGCAGCACTGACGCCAGGCGACAGATAGCGCTATTTTCATAAAAATTCTAGGGACGACATCTAGCGTCATCTAGCGTCATATGTTGCCGCGACATCTAACGCTATCTGACGCCATCTAGCGATATCTGACGTCATCTGACGACATCTGTCGCGACGACATCTGACGCAGGCGACATCAAGCGCTGGATAGCGGGATAAGTCAGTTTACGACAGTTCACGCTATCTAGCGCTATATAGCGCCAGATAGCGCTATATAGCGTCAGATGTCGTTGCGACATATAGCGCTAGATAGCGTTAGATAGCGCTAAATAGCGACATTCGAAAGGTGCCGTGCACTTAGCGACAATGTCGCTAATTGGCGTCATCTAGCGTCATCTAGCGTCATTTAGCGTCATCTATCATCATCTGGCGATATTTCACGCTAGATGACGCTAGATGACGTCATATGTCGAATTTAAACTATCAGTAAAGGTCCGGCTTCAGTATATTACTTATTATGTATTATCTTTTGATTGGTGGTGATCATGTATACACACGACGTATCTCAAGGTCTTTAGCAAATTAAGGGAGTATCATGCCTTAATAATTGTAACAAATTTCTAGTGCTGTACAGTAATAGTAGAGGCTCTTACGGGCATTGTCTGCTCGATACGTTCGGGACCCCAGATACACCTTACTAGACGTATTTTTGACCGTAGAATCGATTGAAAGTGGTTTCAAGATGATTGGACTGATTGTTCTGGGGTAAAATCGCAACAAACCGATTTTTGGGCCAAAAATAGGCCAAAAAACCATGTTTTTTGATATTTTGAGCAAGTTAATTTTGTTGGCATGTCGGCAAAACTTGCAGAAAGATAGCTAAAAGACAGCCGCACAAGATTGTATAAAAATAAAACAAATCCCTCTATTTGTTCTGAGGTAAAAATCCAAAAAAGTGGTAAAAATTTTGACTTTTTTGCTTTAAGTTTGAATAATTTTTTGCAGTTGTATTAAATCAACCCAAAAATAGTCACATCGTGTTTGCCTAAATTTTTCCTTTCCGAGAAGTACCCACTTCATATACTTAATCGAAGTTTGAATATTGTCACTCCGCAAGCGTTTTTGCCAAATTTTCGACGCGCACTACGCGCAAAAGCATTTAGTTGTTATCAATTGGCACCCGCGCGTTCATCATAAATTTCAAACAGCTATAACTCAGCGAGATTATGTCCGTTCTAGCTCATATTTTCACACTAAATAGAAAATAATGTGATCTTATTGCTGACAAAATATGGATATAATTACTTTATTTGCCTTAGAGTAATAGACTGTCAAAGTTTAAAACGCGCATTGGTATAGCACGTGACTAATAAGGCCAAATTTATATTTCTTAACATATTATCGATCCTTAGACATCATACTATTGTGTCCAATTAGCGGTTAGGTCTCTAAACTCGTAGCAGAAAACACGTCTTTTTGCCCGTAAGAGCCTATACTATAATACTCCGTTAACTTTTTACTTCGGAGTTTGATAAAAAGAAAAAGCCGCGGTAGATCGGGGTTTTGATTTTGTTTTTACATTATGAATGTTAAGCCCTATTTGGGGGAAGGAAATGGCCGCGGTAAATCGGGGCTTTACTGTAATTAGTTGGTGATTGAACGCTGCTGGTCCACGCTGCCATTTCGCGGCAGATGCCACGATTTAACAAAAATCAGGTATCGCGCGACATCATCCTCATATAATGTATAATATCTTATCACAGTGCTGGCAAGCACGACCGTTGCATTTATTGTGGGTATACTATGTACCCCCTTTACTATCATACCCCCTTTACTATTATACCCCCTTTGGTACACGTTACACGACTCCGGCAGGAGTTTTTCAGGCATTAAGACTCATCGGAAGTCGTTCAGCAGATTTATTTTTAGTTGAAAATATAAACTATATAAATATACATATATAAATATATAAAACATTCTAATTTAATGTCAAAGATGACAGGAATAAAAAATAGTTATGTTGAGATTTTTAAGAAATTTGCATAAAATACTCGCCAGCACTGTTAGTGTTATACGAAATTCGGTAAAAAACCCAAAATCGCCATATTCAGGTGCCTTAAAAACCATGTTTAAATTGAGTTAAATATCTGAAATTTTTCAGGGCGTCTAGACGTTGACCAAATCGACTGCAAAAAAAGTTTCAGGTTTCAGGAGCATCGGGAAATGGGTTTTCTAGAACCCCTGTTTTACGACAGATTGTCGTGATACATCACAATGCTGGCAAGCATTACCGTCGCCCTTATATTCACAATACTATTCACCCCCTATACTAGTATATCCCCTTTATTGTTTTCCAGGCATATAAGACTCATCGAAAGTAGTTCAGCAGGCATATCTAAGTTCAAAACATTATAATTCAATGTTAAAGATGACAGGAATAAGAAATAGTTATGTGGAGGTTTTTAAGAAATTTGCGCAAAATACGCGCCAGCATGTTATACGAAATTAGGTAAAAAACCCAAAATCGCCATATTCAGGTGCCTTAAAAACCATGTTAAAACTGAGTTAGAGATATGAAACTTTGCAGGGCGTCTAGACCTTGTCCAAATCGACTGTAAAAAATTTTCATGTTTCAGGAGTATCGGCAAGTGGGTTTTCTGGAACCCCTGTTTTACAACAGATTGTCGTGAAGCATATATATATAATATAGACGCTTTTGGCAGTCAATTGTAGCCTACATTTAAGTGTCCGTAGATTCAGAAGTATAAAAGATACAGTCATTTCGAACCACAGGTCTTGAAGATAATCGTTTACACTCTAGTTTCCATTATATCAAAAAATAATTTAACGTCATCATCATCACTTGATGACGTCATCAAGTTAAGTGTTTTTAAAACTTGGTTTTTAACAAAATAACAACTTTTCAAATCGATTTTAAACCATTAAGGAGTAATTTTATTCAAAATCTGAGGACATTTTCACCTTAGATAATTGTTCAAGCATTCTGAAAATCTACCGGAAAATTTTCCTACCTTGCTCCTTCATAAAGATATTCGCTATTGAAGTTAGTGCTTTTTTGAAGAATAATTTTATAAAAATACAAAAGTTGTGAATTAGTATTCTCTGGTGTTGGGCCATCCCTTGGGTTGTGGAGCTCGATTGTGCTTTCTAAAGGTCTAAATTGTGTTATAGGCTAGTTTTAAAGTTGAAAATCGAAAAGTTGCACACGTGGGGACACGCCCAAATTGATAGAAAATTGCTAAAATTACTGAAAATTGCTGTTTTCACCATTTTTATCAACTTTGGAGTCCCGTTGTGATCCAAGTTCTATATGAAATCTTCTGAAACTTTGCATGCTTATTAAATTATACATAAAATACTGCTATGCAAAAATTTACGGTGATTCAATATTGTATGCGCACGCAACGTCCGCTCAAAGTTTGCACGTGCGAAAGGTGAGAATTTTTCTCATTCGTGATTTCGAATAAATTCTGCTTTCCCGCGATATTTAAATGGAATTATATATGAATTTAATGCCAACTTGAATGAGTAAAAAGTGCCATATTCAGTCAGGTAAAATTTCGAAATCGATGAAATTACCTCCTGATTATTAATATAAATATTAATGAAGTTATGAGTTTACATTTCGGCTTTGTAAATTATCCTGACATTATAATCAAAAAGAGATGATATTTGACCAAAACCCATAATCATGGGTAGAGTGTACCGCTGCCAGTGTCTCTCTTTTCCAAACAAAAGGAAATGATATTAATTTGAATAACCGTCCGCAAATGCAAATTGATACCGAGAATGAAATCGGTCGCTCGCTTTTTCCATTCGATCACGGCTTACGAATTGTAATTGGTAATAAAGCTTATTGATTAGAAAAAAGCGAGCGACCGATTTCATTCTCGGTATCAATTT